GGGTTTAGTGGATTAAAAAACTCGGGGGCAATTTGGATTGCTTCATCGAATACCGTGACACCGTGACTAATAGTCTAATAGTCACGGTATCAGTTTATAATTTTTTATTTGTCCGAGAACTTTTTGAATGAATTACATACATACAAATTCTCGATTCAATATAAACATACACACAAAAAAAACAAATCTTTCTTCTTTTTTAAATGTAGATTGTATCTTTTATCATTAATAATAAAATCATCATATCGTTTTTTAAGTCTCACGTAATCAATTAATCTACGTTTTGAATGGAATCATTCGTTTGCTAAAAATATATGTAGCGTACTTAAACCGATCAACATAATAACTGTGCTCGCGACTTCATCCGCGTGGAATTGTTATTTTAGGCAACTTATTTATTTTTGCAAACAACCTCCTCAGGTTTATAGATTATAGCTGAATCATCAGAATCATCGTCAATCATTTTATACAAATATTTTTAATCGTAGGACTGTTTTCGTAACTTCAGCTTTATAATATTAGAATTGTAACGAATTGGAAACAAAGCCATCTCTTGACTTGAAAATATTTTATTAAATACTGTTAACGCGAGTAGTACTCATGAATAAAACACCGTGGTCACGGCTGCTGCAAAGCATCCAAAACGTCGGGTCGTAGTTAAAAATGTAATTCTCAAAAAAAAAATAACTTGATATATTTACGATTTAAAGCGTTAAAGTGTTTTAATGAAATATATTATTACTTAATTAAAGTAACTTACATACATTAAGAGTCCAATATTTCAAATAGACTGGAATTTTTCAAACTCGTCGCGTTGAAACTTTTTCCATATTACGTTTATATCTAGAATTGTACACTCACATCTCGGCAATACAATTATGGCTGTTCCCGTTCGACTTCAAATCTACGCTACAAATGAGATCTGCTTATAACCCTTGAACTTTTACTTCGCGGTCTGTATCTGATTTAACTCTATCACGTTCCCTGCATATTCCTATAATAGAGTTTTTCGTTCCTGCTTTTAAAGCTACAAATCTATTTTAGCTGGTCCTGATGTAAAATATAAATCAATATTATTTCCAATTTATGCAACAGTATTGACATTAAAATTTTTAATATACTTTAATAATAAATAATGTTTAAAATAGTGAGTATAGTATTGTGTGTAGTTTACGCGAGTAGTACACATTTAAATAAACACTTTTAACGGTTTAATACTTGGCGTCTTTACGGCTTCTGCAAATTATCCGAAACGTTGAGCTATAGTTAAAAAATAATAATTCGTTTATATATTTCCTGTTTTAAATCATTACAAGTGAAAAAATTAAATGTAAGTATATAAAAAAAATATACTTAAACATTTGCAATAAAACAGCAAGGTATAAAGACTCTGTAAGAATAAACTTGTACGGTTGTCTACTCGTTTTGCCTAGATTGTCGTAGATGTCAGGTATCAGGCGCATCGCTGCACGCGCGACAGATGTGAAGATTTTAATGTGTTTATTTTGAAAATATTGCTGCTATTACTAATTCTAATTTTTATGGTAGAGAAGGACATACAAGAATGCGTTTCACTTGATTTGATCGGCCGTATAACATCTAAACAAGATGCCTTGTCGATCTATTTTGGGTTTGGAAATCCACAGACTGAAAGCGAAACGCGATTAATTTGACTGCTTTTTCATCTGCGGAACGTGGCACGTGACCCGGACGGAACTGCGATATATCTACCGCCCATTTAATATGAAGCATGTTTAAAAAAAACATATATTGATTAGATACATTTTGGATCTGGTGGGGAACGAACACAGGACTAGTTGATTATTAGCCATTAGCCATTCATTGCTACCATTACATTTTTTTCGTTTATGACTGACTAAAATTTAAAAGATCTGCGTTAATAAGCAACTTAGTTTTTTAATCTAAGCGACATTGCGATACGTTTTCAATAAATTTACACGACGTACTAACATTTTCCACAGATAAAGCCGCGCAAAAGTTTTTGTATAATTTTCAATCGTGACATAAATGGGCCACTTGAACCCTTCTTGTCGACGCATCAGACGCACTAGGGTCGCATGAACGACCACCCGCCGACTGTAAACCTATTGAAAGCTGAATAATTACACGCTTGTCAGTCGCATTTGTCATATTGTTATGCGAATTGATATTCGCAGAGAATAAATATTCCGAAGTTGGATTTTCCTCGAAGTAAAGCTAGTACGAGTTTATTTTTATTGGTGAAAACGTTTAACAGAAGTGTAATCAACACGACCGCCTCTATAGCTAAAAAGCCTTACGTTATGCGCGAGAGGCTCTAGATTCGAATCCACGGTAAGCAATCTATTTAAATAAAACACTTTAACGGTTTAAAACGCGATATATTAGTTAAACTTATTTGGAAATGATTTTTAACTTCGGCCCGACGTTTCGGATGCTTTGCAGCAGCCGTGGTCACGGGGAGACTAAAGATGGAGGATGTCTCTGACGTCAAAGTAAAAAATTGCTACGCTAGCGCCATCTGTTCCGTCGAAGTTGGTATTTGGCGAAACTGGCCGGGTCCTTACAGAATTGACTAACGGTGTCTTCACGTTTGCCGGTATGTTTTTTGGGATCCAGAGTGTTTAATATGGCATCCCAGGTGTTTAATAATTTGAGGCCGTCCTCCCTATTGAAATTTCGGTGTTTTTTAATTTCAATTGCTTCGCGTACTAATCTTGAAAAAAATCGACTCCCCTTTGCGAGGATTTTTGGCTGGTCAAAGCGAATGTAATGATTGAGCTATACCAATATGAAGCATAACTTTCTGAAATATTTTAACAATAAATGCCGTGGCGTATTTTTAATTGCTAATAATAAAACATGAATAATACTAAACATTTTTGTAACAGACAAACTTCGGGTCTACTTGAAAAGGTCCTAGTTTTGTGAAGTACGCCAGTTGTAAATCATACAATTTAGATGTTATATATGACTTTATATTGGCTATGGATTTTTTTAACATGAACACATTTCAAATGGCTGTATATAGACTCCATTAATTTGTGAATCTGAAATATATTTTACGTTCACTCATTAAACAATAATTTGTTTATACATTGAGACGCAAGCCCGTCGCTTTCATAATTGAAAAGTCGCATAATTGTCCGCTCGTCTTACGTAAATTGAGGAATCTTTTATTCATCGGATTCAATCATCCATACCGCTGAGTGTCCAGAGGCGTTGGTAAATATGTAAACAGCCAAATCGACCGTTATTCTATTGTGCCTCGTTAGCCGAAGCCGCAATTATGCCGACGTTATTGGCGTTGTTAGGTGCTGCTTCTGGGCTCTGCTTCTAAATTATGCAGCTGTTATTTTTTTAACGTCGAGTCCAAGCGTTCAATTAATTGGTGCAGCCTGTTAGATGTTTACAGTAAATACTGTCTGTTGTTTAAGTTTACGCGATAAGTGCACATTTAAATAAAACAGTAACGGTTTAAAACGCGTTATCTATTAGTTAAACTTGTTTGAAAATTATTTTGCCGTGGCCATGGCTACTGCAAAGCATCCGAAACGTCGAGCCGTAGTAAAAATTATTTTCGAACAAGTTTAACTAATATATATCACGTTTTGAACCGTTACAGTTTTTTATTTAAATGTTTACAGTAGCTAAGTTCGTCAGTCGTGCTACAAGATGTGCAGTGTATGCCTTACTTTTATTGTTAAATGAAAAAAATATTTGTTTCATTAAATTTCTACATTTGTTATTGTGCCTTTAAAGTTTCTCCTTAATTTAAAAACTTTGACGTCATAATAAATTATGTTTTATATAAAATCCTGTACAGGCTTTTATATTAAATTAATTGCTCAAAAACGTAATTTATATTAAGAAATGAAACAGAATATTTATATAAAAAATAAAACTTTCTTCCGATTCATTTAAATTCAATGCAGTAGAAAAAGTTAACCGCCTGAAAATCCATTTAGTTTTTCGATATTGTTTTTCGCCGTTGCGGCAGATAACTGCCACATCTGCCAATACGTTTCAGCTATTCGAAGTTGACGAATTGAAATACGTTTCTACCACAGACTATTGTCACGTTTCCTGACATTTGGACAGATCGTGGTACTCGTCAGAGCCACGAACTCAGACACCATATGACATGTTCATTCACAACGAATTTAGTCCCTAAGGGTTTTTTTTATTATTTACGTATATAACATTATTAATTATAAGCACCACAGGAATTATTTTGTGAATACAAAACCTTATGAACTTATAAATAAAAGACTGCCTTATCGCTAAACAGCGATCTCTTCCAGACAACCTGAAGTGATGAGGAAAAACAAAAAGGGGACTATGGGTGCTAAGGTGTATAATATAGAAAAGCAATTAAGAACTTGAAAGATAATATTTAACAACTGAGGTTTTGAAAAAACGGAGATTGGGCTTTTCTGCTACCTGCTCCGCCTGTCTCGCTCGTTCAATAGTTACGTGAGATGTTTGAAAACATTTTTTAAATATCTTCTACATGTTATGCACATGATGGCACTATATAAGTTACAACTCGATAATGAATTGAAAAAAAATTACGACACAGGCAGCACTTACCGGCATCCACAGCGTCCCGTGCTCTGTTGCTCTAACAATTAAGGTACCGTTTCCTACACGTCATCGTCCATTTTTTTCAAGCTAGTAGAGTAGACATTAAAAAAATAAAATATACTTTATTCTCTTTAAAAATTATTTAGATTCGACAATTTTTTTTTCGTTTGTCTGTCTGTTTGTCGTGATTACATTGTCATTTTTAATTTATTACGTGAGATGTTTTAAAACCTTGTCCATACTTAGTTATAAATAAATAAGTACCCAAAAATGTTTTGATATCTCTTTCCACTTTTCCAATTATTATTTTCAAACGCGACTCTAAACAGTGAGCATTCCACTCAGTAACAGCTGTGCTATAGGAAAAAAAGCGTATTTTCTTTGTGAGAATCGCGACAGGTCATTGTATGCAAATGTCTGTTGCAGACGTCATTGTTCCTCAAGATGAAACTGGGATGCCATTTATTTCTGGAGCCCGGGGCCAAAAAACTCCGTATCCTATTCTACGGCCGATTTGTTTACCTGGAGACGAGTCGGCAGGTTTAATCAGGCTCACAATTGAAAAAACAACGCGAGATTGAATGATCGCCTGCGGAGGAATTCTCTCCGCGACAGGGGCGTGATTATTTATGTTAACATCGTTGTTTGCGTCTCATAAACGAGTATTGAACACATATTTAAAATTTTTACATATTTTCCCTAAATAAATTATTGAAATTAGGCTGATTCGTTTTTATTGATTATATTGAATGCTTACGTAACTAACATTTATACAATACATACATATAAATAATACGAGAAAGATGCGGTTTGCACGTGTAACCTGTGGGTGGTCGTGGGTTTGGTCCTTACCATGTTTCTAGTAAATTTATAATTTTCTAGTCTGGATGTCTTCATTATGACAAAGTCTTGAAGTATAATCGTGTTTCGGTTTCTGTGTGTGTGGATTTCCGAATATCCAAAATCAAAATATATATAAGATTTGCTTGTATGTCCTGTATGTAAAAAAAGGCACTAATTTTCGTTCGATTTTCTGCAGTTTTCATCTCATCTTCCGTAACTGATGAGGCGCAAAAAAAATAAATTTCATTTGTTTTATCCACGTGTCTTACGTTTCGGCACATCTAGATAGATGTGAATACATTGTCAGGTTAGATGTTACCTTTTATTCCCATTTAATGGCCTATTAGCTTCGTGACAAGTCGGCTCCTGCGTACGTGCGGTCGCTTAGGGGTGGTATTAATTTGATAGATCATATTATAATGGAATTTTAAAGAATTTTATATACGTCTTGTAGGCTGATTCTCGTATGGGAATAAATGAAAAATTTGTTATTTTGGTATTCTCGTCAAATGTCAAACAATATTGCGTCAAGTTTGCGTAACATTTTGGTATCGTGCTTAACTTGACGCGTAGCTGTCAAATTAGGATAACACTATTCGGCGCTGAATCGAAACTTATCGCAGCGTAATTGCAAGTTTATCGATATGTCACTTAATAGGTAAAAGCGGCCAGCGTTACTGCCTGAAAAACGTATATATAATGATAATGTACAGGAATAGAAAGTGGTTAGTTAATGATTCACTCAAATTTTTCCTCTTGCAATTTGTTAACTATAGCAGCCGGCAGCCCTGAAGTGTCACCCTTCTTTCGCATGGGTCGGCTGTATCGGCACGTGACACGTTCGCACCGATTTATTCCTGGCCATTCTATTGGCCCCCGATCGGAACGAGAGCTTTTCTTTGAATCATTTAACGTTTTACACTCCGTTCAACTTATTAAAGGGCTTCCAGGTCTTTGATGATAGGGAAGTGGTTTTAGGAGCGTAGACCCACCACGCTGATCTAGTGTGGGTTTGCGAGGTGTAAGGACAAGTGCCACTAAATTAGTGATGATCACTTGGACTAATGGCTTGATCTACTTCTTTTAAAGAAGGATGATATATACAAGCATTAAAACTGCTCAATATACCTTTTTTGCAGCGCACGCATCGGAAATCCTCAAAGATTTTTTCCCGTTCTTTCATTGGTGTTTTTTAGCCTAAAGCCTTCCTCGTTAAATGGTCTAACCAACACAGAAACATTTTAAAACTTAGAACCAGTTCTCGAGATTAGCATTAGCGCGTTCAAACAAACTCCCAATCTTTATAATATCAGTATAGATGGTACTACTACACAAGTTTCTTGTCAAATAATCTCAAGAAATACGTACCGCAATATTTGAGTCCCATATGTATAAAAATAACTCAACCGTTTCAAGATTCGGAATTTTGCATATATTAAACGTGTGACAAGTGAAGTGGATACAGTGAAAATTTAATATCGCATCGGTCAAGATATCGAAAGTATGTGACGTGACGTCCTCCCGCTGTGGGAAATATGCAAGTCTTCGATGCGTACTGTACGGACATAATATTACTGTATCGCATATCTATATTAATACATAAAGCTAAAGAGTTTGATCGTTTGTTTGAACGCGCTAATCTCAGGAACAACGGATTCGGATTGAACAAATATTTTTGTGTTGTTTAGAGCAATTTTACCGAGGGGACTTAAGGCTAATAAAACCAATATGATCTAATAAATAGTGAAAAATGTAGAAAAACGGGAAAAACATATCTTTTTTGGGTGTAGGTGCGCGGTAATACAAAAAAAATTATGAAATTACTATTCCTTTTAAAATAAGATTTAAAGCTACCTATCTACTACTACTACTATACTAATATATAAATCTAAAGTTTTTTTTTATTTGTTTGAAGTATTAGAAACTACCGGTTCGAATTGAACAATTCTTTTTGTGTTGGTTAGAGCATTTATCGGGAGAAAGGGTAATGCTATAAATCACCACCATGTGACTAATATAAGCAAAAATACAGCGAGGGCTGCAATAACGGTTCAAGATACCCAAAAAATATATATGCAAAAATGATCTTTCATACATATTTTTCTTTCAATGATCTAAAAAAAAGTCCGCGATGCTATATGTCTATAAGTTAAAATTAACTAGCAAGAACGACTGTACGTATGTAACAACTATAATTGATAAGAATGAAGTGGAGGTTTGCAAAAACAAATTTTGCAAAATAACTTCTACGCCTACGATGTCGCCGGCATTGCTAATAGTATTACAATAATATCTGCTTCAAATTCATTAAATATGAAAATGAAAGGAGCGCGTCGTTGAAATTGTTAGTGCTGACAAACGAAATTAACAGGTAATTACCCGTTGTAATTAGTTCAGCATGCGCGTGGTGTATACAAAATACTCTTGTTACGTGTAATTATGCCTATCGTAATTTCGTTACGTCTAAAGCTTAGTTCGCTAATGATATCGTAATATACGTAGTAACGCGCTCACGATAATAACTCGTTTAATTCAAATCCACCAATCCCGATTCCATACATAGATCAGATACATATTTCTGAATCTTTATCTATTTTCTTTTTATTTCTTACGTTTCTAATTGGGATTCAACCGCTGACACGCGAAAGCGACAAAAAAATACCTTTAAAATATTACGTGTATAGTAAGCTATATTTTTGTCTCAATTATTCTTCTTGTCTTATTTCGTTTTTTTATGATAGAAGTGGACAAACAAGCATGGGGTGAAGTTCAAATAATACAGCCATCGACGAGCTCGTTGGTGCAATGGTAGCATTAAAAAAAACCATATCGACAATCGGCTATCGACCTATTTTGGCTTTAGATATTCGGAATTATGTAGTGAAGATTTTTCAATGTCGTTATGTGCAAAATAATTATTATGTATTTGAAATTTTGCAACGTGTAGCCGCGTCGGAACGGCCGACGATCTGCGGGCGGCAACTCAAATAAATTATCTCCCTTTGAGAGTCAGATTCTTTGATCACTGCCAAATCAATTTCACTCCACTATTAAACGCTTCGTTAAGTGGTACTTAAATTGACAATTTCATTGCTAAGCTTTAGCTAGTGAAATGAAATCGACATCTTTATTTATATACAGCAGCTGAAGATTTCTTTAAGGCAGCAAAGTTTCAGTTCAAACTAAATAATTAATTATTTTAAGAGACATCAACACAAAGTTCTTTCTATTGTAAATACTTAATACTAGTTGTGTCAGCGACTTCGTCCGCGTAGAATAGTAACTTTGGGTCTTCATCTTTATAAATTTAAGCCTTCCTTACCTTTACCTATGATGTCGGTCGCGTCCCGTCCCGTCGTTCTTTGCGAGTTAATCTTAATAGATATATTATAGTGTCGCTGACATTTTTAGTTCATTTAAAGAGGAATCATTCCTGCGTATTTTTTGGGTATCCTAAATTGTTTTCGCAGAGTACACACCGGAAACCCAAAGATAATTTTTCTGTTTATGTTTCCACTATTACTTACCTTCTCCTATTACACAGCACGATTTTTTTATAGCCTTTGTCAATAAATGCTCTAACCAACAACATTAGTGCGTTCAAAAATCAAAGGAATTCTTAAGAGAGACATAGATTACTTAGATTCTTAATTTGTATAAAGTTTGATAATTTACTTTATATATTTAGTTGTACTTGATTATAATACAAGTTACGCATTACGTATGTAGGGCTGTTGACCATCTGTTGACGTGGTGAGTACACATATCATTATGTTGGTTAATATTCTCTTTGAGGCGAAGAGCTTGTCAAACAAACTTGAATATTATCTAAGGCTGCCGCTACACAGGCGCTAATGGCTTCTGTCATTCGGAGAAATTTGTGCCTTTGACCTTAAAACAATATTGTAATAATATCGAGAATAATTTTCATCCCGTTCAATTTTACCTTCTATGTTCAGTAGTTACGTGATATCTGTGTATACGTCTTCTATTTTAACTATTTGTGAAACTGTTAAGGACGCATTTTAACCTTATTTTTTCATTGTTATGCCTTAGTTAACTTATATAAAAGGAAACAAAGCGATAGTATTATTATTGTTTTGCCTTAGCTACTTCTTTTTGTTTCCTTGTTAAATAAATAAATATTACACTTTTTAACACAGACACATTTAATTTAAACAACTTTATAAGTGTGTTAATTAAATAAAACAATTACAACGGCTTCAGCGAAATATATTATTTAAATAAAACACTGTAACCGTTTCAAACGCGATTTCTATTAGTAAATTTACTTGAAAATTCGTTTTTTTTTAAACAACGACCCGACGTTTTGAATACGTCACAGCAGTGGATTAACCCATAAAATTAATTAATTTATTTATTTATACTACTTGCTACTACTATTTACTACTCACATCTCTTCACGTGCTTCAGACAAAACAAATTAATCCTTTCCAAAACCCCAGCATATTAAAAGCCTTCTTACGCGTTCTGCAAACGTCCAGAACCTCAGTTTTATATATATTGAATGTTCATTCATCAAAGCTTTTCGGTCTTTGTGTGAACTTGCTAATCACAGCGACGAGGAGAGCTTTGTCAATTTATCACTACCTTTATTGTCTTTTAACAATTTTTATTGGAACATTTAATTTAATTTAAAAAAAATTAACGATGTATTTTAAACTAAGTCAAACATATTTATGGCGAATATATTAATTAGTTAGGGATAAATAGTGTCTGTTGTTGAGCTGTACACATGTAAATAAAACACGGTTTAAAATGCGAAATATATTAGGTATTTTAAGTATGGCCCGACGTTTCGCTTGTTTTGCAGCTGCCGTGGTCACAGGGAGACTATGTTAAGCATCTGAAAAGCAAAGCAAAACGTCGGTCCATAGTAAAAATGATTTTCAAATAAGTTTTATATATATATATCGCGTATTAAACCGTTAAAATGTTTTATTTAAATAGTTATTTATATTTAGCAAAGCAATGTTATGTTTTATATATATGTATATAGTTGTGTTGGAGTTACAAGTGAAATAAACACTTTTTTCTATAATTATTGGCAGAGAAACGTCATCCGTCCATGGTCATCGTTTTTCCATACTCGTGAATAGTATCCTATATTATTAATAACTGAGCAAAGCCAGTTCCGGCGCAGGTTATGTCAGTGATGCTAATTCGTCAAAGGACGCGCGTCCTTTGTGCAACTCGCTAATGACCGCGCTGCGTTTAACGGACAAAATTACTTCAGAGCTTATTTCAATTTCATCAAAACATATAGGCAGTACCTGAATATTTCTTTCTAGAATTATCCACTTGCATATGATAATTGATATAACGTCCTCTTAGTAAAAAACACTAAAATCACCATTAAGACTAGGCAGTCTGTCCGTCTGAATGTCAACACGCTAGACAGTAAACATTTATAACAACAAATACTGAAAACAAAATTCACATTAAAAGGGACTTCCATACAGCGAATGCTTTTTTCTGTCCATTTTTTGTTATATTTTAAAGCAAACAGGTTGGTACTTAAAGTAATTAAAGTAAATGTTTAAATAAAACACTTTAACGGTTTAAAACGCGATATATTCGTTAAACTTATTTGAAAATGATTTTTAACTTCGGCCCGACGTTTGTCACGACGTGGTCACGGGGAGACCACGGCTTCTGCAAAGCATCCGAAAAGCTAAAAATCATTTTTAAATAAATTTAATATATCGCGTTTTAAACCGTTAAAGTGTTTTATTTAAATGTGTACTACTCGCGTAAACAATAGACAATATTTAAAGGAATGTAACTACATGAAATGTTGTGTGACCAACTATATATTACTATCGGACATTATTGCAATTAAAACCTACGTTAAAAATTATTTTCTAGGAAATCGAATAGTACTCTCGAGAGCAAGGACAAAACACAAATCTTGCAGAGATGATATTCTTAACACGTATTTTCGATATACAGTCGTGGAACGATATCGCGACACGTACGGGCGGTATTGTCCAAAGCTGTATCAGCGCTCAAAGGATGCCGACAAAGCGCGGCCGCTACGGACGGCATTAGCGAACCACCCCCGCGTAGGGTTGGCTGCTACAAAGCTTTGTGATGTGCGTTTTTCACCAGCGGAGCTGAAGGGTTATGATTCCGTACTAGACATGCTAGTTCGTTCTCAGACCGGGTTCTTTAATTCACATAATATATAGCCTCGTTCAGCGCAACGCAAAGCAACCGACGCGTTTGTCTACGAAATTCGTAGATGAGCTACGACCACTGAATATTTTAAGAGTATGGGAGTCCTTGTATGAAAGACAAGTATGATATTTACTTTATCTTTTAGATAACAAGTAGAATGATTTTGGTTATACCAATAGTACATGTTTAATTATTTATGCATATAAGTAAGCGTTATAAATGCTTATTGAAGGAAAGAAAAGCCAAAAGCACCAATTTAATCGCAATGCCACTTCTTTACTTTGTTTTCCAATATCAATTTTGTTTTCTCATTCTTCGTCTAAAATAAGTTTAAAAATAACAATAGTAATAAATACCAATTTCGTTTGTTTCGAAATATTAATAAAAGCGTAAAATTGTACATCTTGATTAGTGTCCAGAAAGTTACAGTGTCAGCGTTCAAAGGGCACCGACAAAGCACCGCGCGACGGCCCACTTCCACCCCTATCCTAGGGGTGGCACTCAGTAGATTTTGCAGTTAGCAATACGAAAAATTAATCCATACAAAGTTATAGCAATTAATCCTCTTGTTCGTTTTATTTTTATGTACCATCGATACATACATGAACTAAATTTACTATAAAAAAGTAAAGTTCGTGCAATTTTTTAAATACGAGAACCGATACTTCGGTAAATGCTTTTTTGGGGTCACAAGATTATTTTTAGTAAATGTTAGACGATAAGCGTTTGCCATCCCTACCGTCGCCCCTAGCTCAAAGTGAGTGTGTTACTCTTTAACCTGAGCGATTCGCGACCGGCTAAACTTACCACTCTGCTAAATAAAGTTAAAAGGCTCCTCGAGCTTTGTCTCGGTGCGCCTTTGATGTGCCGCCATACCTCGCCCCCGCCCTTCACCTTTAGTACCCGCAAACAGTTTACCACAGAAACTATTGGCTTTAATGCCTTACGTACGATTGATTAGGTGAAGGTATTTCGGAGAAGCACCGATCAAAGTGCCCTCTTGATCGTGAGGGTCTGAACGACCCTCTTAACTCCGGATTTGCAATGGATTGTTTCAATATTGGTATACTATTTGATGAGCCAATTAATATATTTATTTATGCGGATTGTAAAGGTTGAGTTATCAAAGCGTACTGCAATTTTAAATCAAAATTTCAATCAAGTATTGAAGGTGAGCATGTATCACGTTTTTTACGTTTTGGAATGTGATGCACCTCGCCATTACGGATCCCTAAAAACAGACGGCGAACGAATTATTCATAAAACCAAACAGTGCCCGGATGCAAATTGAAATAGTATTAAATTGCAAGCCAATGATTGAAAAGCAATCGATATTTTAATCGAGTGATTGAACCCGTGGGGTGATAGAGGACGGCGCGAGGGGGAGGGGGACACGCGACAGGTATTAAAAGGAATGTCCGAATCTGTTCGGATAATGCGCGAATGGAAATTCAATTAGTGTAATAACAGGTCCATTAACGCAATCAAAAGAAGATTTACGCGGCGGACATCGATGCAGGTGTATTGATAAATCGAGGTGAACTAACGATTAAATACGATACATAAATAATCAGAATACCTGTTATAACTATGATTAGAAACGTTTATTTTTTTTTAAATCCAAAGCATCTAAAATGTGTTAGTTAAAATTTAAAGAAAGATTTAAATCTTGGTTCCAACTGCCATGGCTTAAGCCGCATGGTACTTGGAACCAAGTCTATCGCTGCGAGTAGTGCCAGTACCCCGCCGAGAAGGCAAACAATCCTTTCATTATCTCTAATCAAACAACACCCTTAGATATGTACCCTACATCTAATAAATTAAATTTACAAAGCCCTTATTGAGATACATCCTGTTTTGACGCAGTCAGTAATAATTATTGATTGATAAAACTACTTGTCAATTCGCTAATATTTTAAATTAGGTATAAGTTCGAATATAATTATGTTTGTCAAGAAAAGTCACTTACATAATATTGTGTGGTTTGATATATTTAGTAAAGACTAACTATGTATAAATGAAAGAGTACATAATTGATATTTATTTATTCGTAATACTCATTGTGCATAATATACAGATTCATTAAAACATTAATATTTACATATTCATGTAGCATTTGTGTTAAATAATGTAAAAAATTTCACTCTGTACTTATTTTCTAAACATACAAACTATACGTAATGGAAATTTGTTTGTCAAAAAGAAAAAATCGTTCTGCTCGTTCTATGCAATTTTCGTCGAGTTAAAAAACCTATGTATAACTGAAATATAATCTATAATTACAATTTTTATCATTTTTTAACTTATTACGTAACGGCTTATAAAGTAATTTATAGTACTACAAATTTATATATACTTTTAAGCTTTTTTTAGATATTTTAAAGGATCATCTTACATAAAACCAAAAACAAATTGATTTGTTTTAAAGCGCCATCTAGTGAATAAAACGTCACGTTTAAGGCGATTATAATATGCAAATGAACAAAGATCATGTCGTTCCCCACTGCTTGTTCTATCGCTTGAGTTTTGACACTTGACAGTAAGTATTAACGCTTGCACCCAAAGAGGGCAGCTATTACAATTTTACTATGTCAGTTGTCAAACTCTTAACGGATATCAAACGTCAAATTCCTGTCGCTGGTGTATACAAAACCGAAGCAGCCCAAGCTAATTTATTATTTAGTTCCTAGAAACTTTTCTATTACACCTGCCTTCTATAGCTTCTTTGTAGCGATCGCAACGCAGCGATCCATACACGAATATTTCATATGTAAGTGTATTCATTTTCGTATAATGTTTCACTCATCACACTTCGTATAAACATTCCTTCCGGGTTTGGAAAATTCGAATGTTCAAAACTAGTTAAGCCGACTGATTCAGGTTGCTTTCGTTAAAAATTCCCAGCGACTGACTGTGGCCAAAGCTTATGGTAGAAACTCCACAAATCAGAGGTTGGTGGGCGAAGATTTTACGACTTTTTGCCTTTGTTTACAATTTGTTTTTCGTTTTATGCCCGTCATCCAATACAGGAACTTTACTTTAACACCATTTACTGCTTCATTGACATGTCATAAATACAGGCTGTTGCCCTAAAGTAATAGTTAATTTTTAAAATGTATATTATTAAACTAATTTAGTGGACTATATATGCCTTTATATCTTCTCTAAATAACAGAATAACTCTATAACACTATTATTAACCAGTGCATTCTTACAATAACATTCTTCATATTCAAATTTTATTCAAAGTGTTATTGATTTAATATTACTAAGCTGTATTATAACTATATTTATAGCTATAGAAAGGGTCGGGCAGTATTGGGACCCCATTGTGTTACTCGCAGAACATCCAACTCCGCTTCCTTCACTCGGAGCTTGACAGTGCATTGCGCAGTCGTGCTATTCTAATATTTCATATGAAAAAAAGTATTATTAAAGAGCTCATATTAATTCATAATAATTTTATTACCAGTGTACTACCTTTAGTGTATTGTTTGTGTACACAATGAGTATGGTAAGGGCTTTATAATTTTGGTGCTTTGTTAAAATTTTTTTTTTCATAATGTGTATTGGACCATGAAGTTATGATTATAATTTGTTATGACAGGATCTTTTTATGCCATATTCCCTCTTTCATAATGTATTGATAGATTGGATTTCAATTTGAGGCAAAAAAAGCATTACGAACAGAAATATGTTATGCTTGGTTACGGCAAACTTAAATGTATGAAGTTTCATGGTTTTTTCTCTATTAAGTTATTTTTATTCTTTGTTAAGTAGATTAATAAAGTGCAAGTGATATCCTATTTTTAACCAGTGCTCTAATAATGTTGGAAGTTTTTGTGTGACTCCGATCGATGATGGAGACTCTTGACTTCTCACCGCTGCCTCAATTTGATCTTCTTTCTCTCTCATTCATACACAAATCAAATGTAAAAGTAGGATCTCTATTGTGTGCTTTATTGATTTTTTTAAGGGAACCTTTTAGAAATTTGCTCCGTTATGATATGTGTTATAGAGTTTGATGCTATAATTTTGTGTTCGTATTTCTATTGTAGTATTTACTTGTTTAATGATTTTTATAGAAAAACTCAGGATATATGACTTTATAATATTATTTTGTAATCTTTTAGTTATGTAAAATTATGGTTTAGTAATAAAAGCAACTATATATATATATGTAGTATATATTTTTTAATCATATTTATTTATTAGAGTCAAACACTTAGTAGCAGATATTTTTTGCATCCTTTATTAAGAATATTTAAAGTGTCCTTGAATAATATTTTAGGTTACTCTTATATACTGTTTTAAAGTGACTGAGTATAATTTAAGAATAATAATAATCTTTTGGCCAAAGCTGATTATTTTTAAGCCAAGCTGTGGATTTTACTCTTGTCTATACAACTGATGATAGTGTTATCAAATTTGAAATCAAAAGCAATATATATATAAAAAAAAATTATTCACCATTTTCCTAATCATTTTCAGGTGGTTTCTCGCCATGCAGCGTGCGGGTGGGAGCAGGGCCTGTGCGCCATGAGCCACACTCCTGGAGGCGGCCACCCGCAAGGTAAGACAAAACCAAAGCCAATTTTAAATCAACTATTACAATTAAGAAAACTTCTCCGTGACTCAACAGTAAAATACCGAATAATAAATGAAAAACGCCTGACTTAATAAAAAAATGTTTTTTATTATCAGGTTGGGAACACAAGCTTGCAGACCGGTCGTCGCTGCCACCAGCACCAGGGGAGGAGAAAACAAAATCTCAATCCAAACATGTGTTCACACAGCCTCATCTCTCTAAGTATGACGTGATCAGTTTTTGTTTTATGAAATAATCGTGTACATTCAATCTGAATTCATCACTTGTGTTGAGCATATAACATGCAGAGAATTTTATGTCAATGTGCTTTAGGGCGGGCGCTATGTGGTGGCGCGAAGAGACGGAAGGTTCTTCCGGCAGCAGTGCGCGATCACCAGCCTCGCCGCCCTACGTGCGTTGGGCCAGAGCCCTGCACTTCCTTCTTGAGGTAAATACAGGCTAATCATTATACCAATTAATTATAGTATGTTGATATGTATGTTACCTTATGTTCCAATGTATGTTATTAAAGTGTAGAATGCCTAAATTATGAAAAATACATTTACTTTATAGATTTTGGTAGTGTTATAAGACGAAAAAAATCTGATTTTCTTTTTGCTATTTCTTTGCATTATATGTCCTGTAGGTTACTCGTCATTTCTTATAAACCTATTATATTACTTAATAACATCACATTTAAATGTGTATGTGTATGTAGGACGCGGAAGGGGTCCGTCTTTTCCGCAAATTCGTGTGTGGCGCTGGTGGGCTCCACGTGGACCGCCTCAACTTCTACTTCGCGGTGCATGGTTTGCGCCAGGAGACTGAACCGTCCAAGATACGCCAGGTCGTTTCCGCTATATATAAGTAAGTACATCTTTGTCTGATCGCGTTTTTTATTTTAGATTCACTTACTCAAAGGTTCATTAACGATTTGATGGTTAAATTTCATAAAACCATTATTTTCAGAGCTATTCTTTAACAATATCTATCAATTTGAATTAAAACATTAGTGAAACTACAAAAACGAACACCTTGCCCACTGTTGGGGACTAGGGACCCTTTATCCATCGCAGTGTATATGAAAACAAATAATTGTTGTTGTTGAATAAAAATATCCTATTTAGATTCCTGCGCAAATCCCAGCTAACGATGCCTGAAGCACTGAAGACGCAAGTGAAGCAGGCTCTCAAAGATGGCGTCACCATCGAAAAAACCATCTTTGACGAAATGGAACAAGAGGTTTGTGGTATATTTAATTGCAATCACAAAAATATACATACAACGGAACATATATACATATTATTGGCTATTGACATAATTAATTCTCACTACTTTGGTTACAGGTGACGCGCGCCATAACCGAAACGACGTACCAAGCATTCTTGCGCTCTGAGGCATACGTGTCGTATGTCAGTGCTGCCACCCAACCGCTGTCATCGCCAGATGCGTCGCCGCCCCACCATAAGGAGGTAAAACATTTATTTCCTATACGACGCCCTTGAAGGTCAATCACAAACCCTTGTTCCGCTTACTATTTTCATATGAACTGCGAAAATATATATCTAGAGCCTAGATCACTGAAAATGCAAATGTGTACACACAGACTGAGAAACTAATTAATAATACTTACTATTCTATAATTTTTAATATCACCTATACTGTTTTTGACTATGTTGTTACGAGTAAGTATATTTCCTAATAAACATGTTGAACATAAGTCGATTGTGCTTTAGGTTTAAGGGCGTAAGGAATATGTAACAAAAAGTTGCGGCGAGTTTGGCCAGTTTTTCTCGTTCGTTCTACGCAGCATTTAGTAAATTTTAATTTAGAGTTTTTAACTGTGTTAACGTTTATAAGTGTACTAGACATCTTCATGAATAATTTCTTTTTTATTTTGTGCAGATGTCGGTATGCGGTCTGGCAACACTGCACGAGGGCCAAGAACTGTCCGGAGCGAGCGGAAATACGAGCTCAAGCACTAGTGCACGTCTCACGCATGACGCGCTGCTAGCAACACAGGCGCGTCGACTCCACTCAGACGTCGCACCGTCAGTATTAAATACTTACCGTTACATGCGCATGAGTCCAGTTTCAAGCTTAATTTAAATTTTATCAAATATATTATATCTCACAATAAATAATGAACACCTTTCGACAGTAACCAAGTGGTGCACTTAAATAAAACACTTTCAACCGGTTAAAACGCAAAATGTATTAGTAAAAGTTATTTAGCGTTTTTTAACTACGGCCCGACTAAATAAGTTTATTTCATACATTTCGCGTTTTGTGACGTTAAAAGTGTTTTATCTATTTGTGTATTACTCGCGTATAATGCAGACAGTCCCTCGGTACATGCTAATCATTGTCTCTGTCGCACATAAGAAGTTTCTATTCTTTACCAATGTTAAATATTTATTCTCTGGTATGTCACAATTGAAATATATTACATTCAGACAATATTGTTATACAGTACAAACACCATTTTAGTTTTAGTTTATTATTCGTCATTAGTTGTTACGTAGCTTTATTTTACATTCCAAGTAAACATATCTTTATTTATATTTTGAATTTGTGTGTTGCCTTCGTTTGGAAAATAATTATTTCCACATATACTTTCTAATTAAATAGTGTGTAAAACTAATACACAGGTTTTTCACTACATAGAGAGTCTCCTATTATTCTCCAAACAAAAAACCCCGCCCTTTTTAATCTAATTTGAAGCATTGCATGCAGATAAAGCTAATTATTTTATTTTTCCCTAGCAGCTTGATTGATTTCGTATGTTTTGCCCCCATGTTTGACCCCGCTGCATGTTTGCTGTTCCGACGACGCTGTCCTATTTACACGAACGCTGTACACATGCTGTTACCACTTGACTCGCCCCTATTTTACTAAAATGAATCATCTTTCATTATCTGTATCCTCATACACTTCCCTTCATACTTCTAAACGACCATATCGCTGACATTTCTGTCCCGTGTCCATTGCTACACTAAAACGCGTCGTGGTAACAGTCATCGTCATAAGCGGTCAGTGTATAGCGCTCACGTGTCGTACGCGGGATACACGCCAACATCGCGCCAGGATTCGGAACGAGCCAGTCTTAGCAGCGGTCGCACTGATAGTGATGCTGTCTCCCTCTCCGGTAGTAGCGTGTGAGTAGACCGAATATACCTAACCCTTGGCGATGTCGTTGAGAAGAAGGTTGAGATATTGGAATATGTTTTTTATCCTAGTAGGTATTATATAGTTTAGTTACATTTTACTTAGCTTTGCTTTTTGCACTAATTTGTTTAACTATTCATTTTATTAGTTTTTTTATATTTCCCACTGGTGGGATTCGGCCCTAAGGGGTTAATGCGTCTACTGCCCTGCCAAATATGTGTTGAAGATGGTCTTATTATGTCGAATTTATAGTTTTAAGCGATCTTGCATGTAAACAAACGTGCTGTTTGTCTTCGCATAAGCAGGCGACAGATTGTACATGAGTTAAATTTGATTTAGAACTAGGAATCAAACTTCTGGTCTCACAAAATTACAAACAAGACCATCACAACTGTAATTTTAATATTTAAGGTCTAAATAAAATTATTAATAATATCAATAAATACTTATAGTCACTACACAGATATTTGTGTTAAAAATACCTAAAAGATGTGTGCATAATTAAAAACATCTGTACCTATGTTACAAACAACCCATCTCATTGCAGAGATGGCATGTCTGTGCGAGGTGTCCGGGACAACAGAGAGTCCCGTCATCGGCAGCGACTCTATGGATTGGACCGGCAAGCTGTTATCAACAAGGAGCTAGATACAGCATTGGTACAGCCCTTTTTATTAATATATATCGTTATAAAGTAGAAGAGAAAATCTAAATATTTATTAGCATATGATATGATAGTCTAGATGAAATAAAATTGAACGCCCTCTCCAATTTACGCCACCTCAGGCCACCACGGATCACCTCAACCCACGTGACGTCACTCTAACGCGCGACGTAACGCCCTCTCTTGTTCTTATATATCTAATAATATTTTTATGTTGACTATAGTAACTCTGTACATGCTTTCTTTCTCTGTTACCAAGGGTTTAATTGTAAGCGTCATAAAATCACGTTCCATGTTCAAATCCCACAAATATATATCTCACTCATAGGAAATGAAATTTATTTATACAAAATTTTATTTTACTACTAAATATTGTGGTTCTTTTAGAAGCAACTTTAAAAAGTATGTTTTACATTATTTTTCTAGTATATAACGATATAAGTGATAGACGTAACAAACAATACTGAAAAAAAAATTAAATTAATAATTATGTTATGCATAGAATAATAGTGAGTTTCTCCATTCAGATGATCCCCCGAACGCAGCGAGTGCAGTCCGAGCAGCTGCGCGTTCTGCCGCCTGATGAATTCGCTCCGCTGCTCATTGAGAAACTGGAGAGAGTTCGCCGGGAACGAGAGAACAAAGAGAGACTGGAAAGAAGACTCGCAGAAGTAAGACACTACGTTAAATACAATTAGCTTATTTTTATTTAAATATTTTCATATTTTATAACGTAACAATGTGTGGCTCCATAAATTTAACAAATGATTTGAATTGAAGGGTGACGGTGAAGAAACATCCTCACAAGTACTACCGCCGCAGCTGGTGGCAGCCGCTATACGGGAAAAGTTGCAGCCGGACGACGATAACGATCAAGATATTTTAGGTTAGATTTTTTAAATCAAATAAATTTTTTTATCAATTATAATTTAACCTTCTTGGCTAAGAAATGTAAACGATTACCAATTTTTCTATTCAACTTTAAATAGATTACTCTTTACGATAACTTAGTATTTTTCTTTCTATAGATCAACATGTTTCCCGCGTGTGGTCGGAACGTACCCCGGGGGCGTCGCCACCGGGCGGTCGGCGCACGCGCAGACAGCCACGCCGAGCTCCATCTTGCCTCTCCGCAGACTCTGGGCACTACGATGAGCCCCCACATTTAGCCACACGCAGGTAAATTTTAATTTATTGGCTCAAAGTTCTGGTTGATCTGCCTGGGTTCATATCCACCTACTGCGTCATTTTAAATTTATCTCAAACAAAAAATTACGTTTCTGTCATGTATATGACGTAGTGGGTAGTTCGGAATAGAACCGGACTATCCGTAGGTGATATGTACAAGCCGCACGTGCAACAGATGTAACCGATTACGTCATGTCGTAACGTTGGAGCCTGGTATAGAAAGGCTGGCTCCGTTGTATCGTAGGGCAGTTTAGTATAATATGGGGCTTAACTTGTAATAGTCATACCCCAATCTTACGTAAACAAATATTTTCTTTAATATTTAATTGTATGTTTATAGATCCTTCTCGAAGAAGACCGTGACAGAGTTGACCGACAGCGGCGTCTCCGTGGTGAGCGAAGGCTGCGCGAGTGGGCTCAGCGCCGCGAGCGAGCCTCGCATTCTTCTATGGATAGCGGAAGGGGAACGGGTCGAGAAACGCGCTTCGTCGGCCGAAAGGCACAGGCGCACGGCGCGGTCAGTTGCCTTCTATTTGCCTTATATGCGCTTTATACTAAAAAAAAAATCGATACGGTCAGGATCTGAACCGGTCATGCATAGTGTTCCGTGCTATTGTTCTAGGCAATTTAGCTACCGGGTCATTTTTTTTTCAATCTAAAATCGATTTTTAATTTATTTAAAGCCAACATGTGAAAAATTAATAAAGTTATGAAATGTAACAAATTGGTCACTATCTAAAATAATAATAATAATAAATAAAATGAAATCTATATTAATATTAGGGTATTTTGTGCCCCATGCTCCACATAGGGGACACGGGACTCGAATTTTTCAACTGAGTAACCGCAACAAGACTAGTTTATTATAAAACACATGCTTTTAATCGCACGTGCAAGCTTCATGTTTTCTAGGTTCGTCCCGTGTTGTTTAAATTATCACTTCTTTAAATATTTTTGTACATCTCATCCAGTAATTTAAAAATCGATTAAAAAATTTTCACTTACAGTGGTGGTGGAAGCTAAATCCAGCAGCACGAGTAATTTCGACCTTAACACTTGCGTATTAAGGCTCAACGGCTTGCAGGTAGCAACCCATACAACCGCAGACTGTGGTGGTCGCACCATTTCGGCTAGACGAGAGTGTGCCTTACCGTTTCAAGGCTGCCCAAGCTAGTCCATTGACTTTGAAGACCTTCAAAAGTACCTGCCTGAAAAGGAAACTACAGGTAGGTTATTAACACTTTAAATAAAAAAAAAAAAAAAAAAAAAAAAAAAAAAAAAAAAAATATTTTTTTTTACTTTTTTACTTAATTCCAAGTCACAAGGTAGAAATTACATTGCGCGAGAGGTGCATGTACAATACTAAAAATTCGACGTGGTTAGGACTCGGTAGCTCAATTGAGAGCAACAGCAGAAAGCTGACGATGCCGGTTCCGGACTTATGATCGAAGTTATTTCAATTTATTTTCGATTTTTAAATATATAGTGCTCTTCTGTGCAATAACATGTGAAAAATCTTAATGTTTCACGTTATAACTTTTTTCATTTCGTAATTGTTTATTAAGCTGTTAATTTTGTGCATATATTATTTTTAAAAAATATTAGATTTTTCAATTCTTTCTATCTGCTTAAATATATTGTGCCTTCATGTGCAATAACATGTGAAAAATATTAATGTTTTCAAACGTTATAACTTTGTAATTTCATCTTCAATGATTTCTTAAGCTGCAAAGCATAAGACATTGAGCCTTAATACGCAAGTGTTAAGGTAGAAATTACATTGGGAAGGGGGGAAATAAAAAAAAAAAAAAAAATTTTCCGGGGGGGGGGGGGGGCCCCGTTTTTTTATTTGGGAAAAAAAACCCCGGGAAAAGTGGCGGGGGCCGTTTAAATTCCCCCCCGAGTCGAAAATTTTTTCAATTTATTTTCGATTTTTAAATTAAATTATCACTTCTTTAAATATTTTTGTACATCTCATCCAGTAATTACATTTTTTATTACAGTGGTGGTGGAAGTAAATCCAGCAGCACGAGCGGCGGTGCCAGCGGCGCAGGCGAGCAACCCCTACAACCGCAGACTGTGGTGGTCGCCCATTTCCTAGACGAGAGTGTGCCTTACCGTTTCAAGGTGCCCGCTAGTCCATTGACTTTGAAGACCTTCAAGGAGTACCTGCCTAGAAAAGGGAACTACAGGTAGGTTATTAACACTTTAATGTTTATTACATTCCAAGCCACAACTCCGATTAAATACTAAACTTTAACGGTTTAAAACGCGATATATATAAGTTTTGAAAACTTCTTCAAGCACTTCTTAACTGTTCTATACTTTTTATTAGTAAATTGTTTATTAAGCTGTTAAATTTTTCATATATTATTTTTAAAAAATATTAGATTTTTCTTCTTTCTATCTGCTTAAATAATAATGCTGACTGAATATGTGTTCAACTTTCAGGTATTTCTTTAAGACGGAGTGCGCTGATTTAGACAACACCGTCATTCAGGAGGAGGTGAGCAGCGACAACGATACATTGCCCATGTTCGAGGGAAAAGTCATGGCGCGAGTCAAAGCGATCGAGTGAAGGCCTCTTCAATTTATCTTTAACACCGGTTTGCACAAAAGGCTACAATTTACCATGTGGAGAATGTCACAAATGCTCAAAACATCCAGATGATTATCATTCTTAGATTGGTCCCATTTAGAACAGATTAATTTTGGTATCCTCCATAAACACAAAGAATTTCTGTAATAAGATAACTGACTTATACAAAAATATCTAAAAAACTATTGTGTCTTTAAATATTGTGTATTAACTATGCTATTGAACAAGTAGTTTGTTAAAAGATTTTTATATAAGTTTAAAAATTGCAAATTTCACAATCATGTTCATAACCACGTGGCCCTGAAACTTGTGCAAATGGAATGTAAAACAAAATTTCTTCATCTGTAAAAGTTTCAGACATTCGTGCACTGTAAACTTTCTCAGCTACTAACATGACTCATAACAGATATGCCAAAACACTATTATTTTACTAGTCTGGTTCAATAGTTCGATCAATTAATCCAGAATTATACCATTCTATAGCTATTAAACTTAGACCAGTAAAATACGGAGGTGAGGAAAATAAACAATTAACTCGAGTTTGAAATTTATCATATTATGGCTAAATGTTCCTTTTGACAATTTGGTATGTAGCCAAACTGGCACCAGTGACACAGTATAATAAAAAATCAGTGTGAATATTGTATATATTAGCCAGTTATCCTGTGTTCGTCCTAAGGAGGGTAATACTGTCAGCGTAGCCCACAGTCTATATGTTTCTTTTATAAATTATGTCGCAATGCATGTTAAAAGTATTTCTTATTTGATAACATATTTTACTGTTCGTAAAACTGTTTCAATTCCTAATATTATTGTTATTATTGATTTATTTTTTACGCTTTTTAACCCAGTCCAACGACCAGAGTTAAAAATTGTTAAGAGTATAAGTAGCGCATTTTTCTTTTCTAGAAGAGAGATGATTATTATTTTATTATTATAATTTTTGTTATAACGAATGAAATCAGACCTGGGGTTACGATTAGTACAATATTTATAGTTTTAGTGAAATCCAGTACTCGACAAATCGACGCTTTTGTTTAGGCAGGCAATGCGACGCTCTGTAAATATTTGCCAAGTCCAGTGTCAGTGACTGCAAATTATTATCTTTTGGTTGATAAATTTCACTGAGTAGAGTTTTTGATGGAGCACTTATCATTATAATTTCATTATTTCTCATTTTTCGTTATTAATCTAAACGAAAGATAAAGGGACCGTTTAGTTTAGTTTAACCTCGATTCCGGTCGAAACTCGCGTCCTCCAGTTACGCTTACACTCTGTATATTTTATTATTTTATGTCGACCTGTGCGAGTTTTTCTTACTCCTAGTGGTAGCGAATGACTGCTTAGTAGTTAATAAATGTAGCGTAATGTTCTGTTTGTTCGTCCCTTTAGTGGACATTGGTTTCCTAAATTCTATGTGAATATATCGAATGCGGAAGATAATACTTGACAATATTATTTATACAATCGTAGCTCATTATATTTTTGTTTAAAATAAATTTTTATTAATCAATACTTAGTGAAAACTACATTGCTTTAGCGACCTCCTAGCGTATTGTCTCCCACATTCGCCAAGTATTTGGACCCGATGTTGTAGAGGAGATAAAATCACGGGATCTCAAATATTAACGTTAAAGTATATGTAATGACAGTTAAGTATATTAAATATTGTTAAGTGGACAGTTTTCCGTTCTGCTGCTGTGAATAGTACCTACATTTAAATGTAGTTATAAGATTCATTTTGAATACAATAACAGTTTTTCGTCGATGTCATCTTTTGTCTTTAGCCGTGACAAAGGTAGCTCATATTTTCTATACATTTTTGTATTGCCGAAGTTTCCGTAGAATTACATTTATGTGCGTGCAAAATGTTATACAACCGACGAGCGACGGCCGAAGCACGATATAGATGGCGTTGACGACTAAATTTATTTTTATCGAATATCAGACTGAAACGTATTAGTTGAAATATAGTATTGTGGTTATGGCATGAAGATATTTATGTTGATACCGAATAACAATATGTTCATGTTGTAACAGCTATGGTAACCATTTCCTACTTCACACTAGTCCTTGACGTGAGTTGTAGCAATAGAAGATTCAATCAACACGCAAAGATTATCGCTATAAAATGTTCCATCGATACGACTCACTCAATCGTCCAAGTACTTATTTGTCGTAAATGTAAGATGTGTAATATAGTAAGCACGTAAGTTACAGTCCACTGTAAGAAGACGAGAGTGCACCTATGCACAATATTGAGAATAGGGTGCGTAAAAATGTGCCTTCAAGTTGATAAAAAATTCATAGTTGATGCTTCTAATCAGCAATAAGATTGTAAATATAGTTAACGCTAACGAACTCTTTATTTTTATTATTTAATTGTATTTTAATTTATTGCCTAAGATCAGCTCATCTCGGACACGACGCGCGATTTTTATACTTTTCCTCCGACTCCGATGTCTTCCTTGCCTGACTTAGCTTAAATCTTTTCTATCTCTAGAGAAATGTGTAGCTTTTATAATTTAACAGTAATCGAACGTGCCTCGCGCCGTCTTCGCGAAGCGTCCGACAACTTTAGTCCGAGCCCCATATGCATAAGCGAAAGAATCCGTGTGAATAAAACATTTATATTTAAAATACTCAATTTATAAAATTTTAATTTCTAATAAGACCTGTTCGCTTGTGGATATGATGCTAGAAGCTTTGTCGAGCGACACGAGTTGTATAAATAGATGAACTATAACATTTTTATATATATGTAAGGCACTTTCAGTAAGGTAGCATTAAATGTAAATTAAAAGATAAAATGTCAAAAGTTGCAAACGCTTGTTGAAAAGTTGAGGTTTCTTTAATGAACGTTAATGGTTTACTAGTGTTATCCTGGATTATTGTTTAGCATGTACCATTCGGACTGTACTATTTTTTTATCCAGCACAATATAATATGTATAACAATAAAGAAACTGGAACTGTGCCATACATCGTCCATTTTATTTAACTCATTATTCACAAAAAGTGGTGTACAATCATATAAGGTTTTTAAAAAAGAACAGAGTCATAATATTAATATCCATACTTTAATATAGGGGAACAGCTAAGATATACAATAAAATTTATTGAAATAATACAGTATGCTTATAAAACGCAAACACAAACTAATAAATAACAGTTTCGCGCGATTTGCATGGATACAGGTTAAGGATTGTCAACGCAAGTATTAAATAAAACGCTTCTATTGCCCATGGCTGCAAAACATACGAAATGTCGGGTCGTAGTTAAAATAAGTAAACCGATATATATTATTGTTAAAATCGGTCTAAATAAAGATTATTCAAGATAGCAACTCCCATTAATTTTGCAGTCAACGTAAAAGGTCAACTTAAAAAATGAAAGTCACGATGTATCTCTATGATGACATCTTTTTTCTGTTAGGAGGAATGACAAATCAATTAACATTTCACCTAAGCTGCATTATTTCAGCTTTGGACATAATATGGAACCTCACAAATATTTTCGAGCCCCGCTCTTACCCACACCTGTGTCCACAAATAATCGAGAATGCCAAGTCATGAAACAGTAGGAATACTAGTCTGAAATATTAGTAAAAATCCTTGTAGTCAAATCAAACACTTACTACGTTTTTGAGCAGGTACAAAATAGCAAACAAAGCGGCCTGAGGCAATTATAAATCAACCAGGATTCCTAGAACTACAAAAATGACTAAGCGATATGACTACTAACCTAACACAAATAAATAGAAGTTACTTGAGGTAAACCTTACTGAGGAACTTATAAATAACATATAAACATATAGTGCTATAAATATAGCCGTCATTGTGTTGGTAATTATTTTAATTTAAAAACGACATTAGGAGTTAACTGTATAATTCGCGGCCATTTTGAAAAGCGAGTTGAGTTTCAGAGTTGCAACAAGAACAGTGCTTACGCAAAAAGAAAGAAGTTATATTTACCGAGTGTTTCAGTACCGCACGTGACATTTTTATGTTTGAAATTCAGTATGTTACCGTCATAGTAATTACATTTTCAATATAGAACTCTCTTATTTTGGTTTAGTTACTATACTAGACATTTCAGTTAACGAAATAAATGCCCTGCAAAGATTTTCAAGAGCGCATTATTTAGATTAAACCTCAATCTATTTTAATAAAATTCTATATGATTTAGATATGTTGTTAGCGTGTCATCACAAAACCAGCCTCTATAGTAAAATAGTCTATCTGTTAAATATATATTTAGGTGCAATAATTGACACTGATTTAAAGCTTATACAAGCTGGTGCTCCAGACCAGGTCTTTCACTATAACTATTATAATTGCTATTTATCGTTCGCTAACACATTATTGTATTTATATTTAATATTATAAGAAATCCAGACCAAAAACGGACTTAAAAATGTATTCTGTTTGTTTTTCAAATGTCAAAGCGTATCTATGTCCTGAAATAAATATTCTCCTTTAATATAATAATTCCGAGTGAAACGACATTTTATGACTGTACACACGAACTAAAATATATTTTGGATTGCTTGTATTTCCGAGCCCTCTTCAGTCCCTCTCTAACTATTCCTTAAACTTATTGAGGCTCTTAATAAAGTTACTCATGTCATATTCTTCTTCATACTGTTTGTCGTCCCAGAGTTCTGGTAATGTCTCAAGCACAGACTTGCTGCTACCGGCGCTGGTGGTAGGAAGAGCGGGCTTGGAGGTCGTGTTTGACAACTGGAAGAGATCCAACAATTGGTCCGTTCCCATCGTTTCCATCGCGGCATTTTCGCTGCTTATCACTGTGTTCGCTGTCTTGAGCTTGAACTTTTGTAAACTGAAAAAAAGGAAACAGTAATTTTTTATCAATCTAAATATTTATTTTTAAATTGGTGATCGATAATTTAACACATAAAGCCTCTTAATTGATAATATAGTTAAGAAAAACCAAGGAAATCATCACTCACCCCATAATCTTTTCTTCCAGCGTGTCCCTAGTGACTAATCGGTACACGTTGACCACATTCTTCTGCCCGATACGATGAGCTCGGTCCATCGCTTGCAGGTCCTTCATAGGGTTCCAGTCATGCTCCACGAAGATTACTGTATCCGCGCCAGTTAAATTCAAACCGAGACCTCCGACCTGGAAAGTGTTTTTTTATGAAAGAAGAGGGCAGACAACCCTCGCCGTATAACATCTAAACAAGATGCGCTGTCGACGTTGTGTATTCTGGCTTTGGATATTTGGAAATCCATAGACTGAAATCGAAACTGTAGTCCGTGATCCGGAAGGAATTTCGAAATCCTACCACTCATTTAATATCCTTTCCAGGAGTTTAACATGTTTAAAAAAATTATTAAATAATTATAAAAATGTTGAACTCGGCGGGGACAGAACCCACGACCCGTCGACTATTAACCATACATTGCTGCCACTAGACCAACGAGACCGTCAAAGTGACATTAGAAGAAGTAGGTATGTGTTTAATTGCTATTGTAGTAATAATTAATATTGAACAGACTGGACGGTTAGGTACTTTTAAAGTAATAATACTGATCTTAATAATATGTAATTTGGATAATTAATATAAAGGTTAGCTTAAACTTACACTGGTGGTAAGCAACAGCAGGTCTATAGACACGTCCGTATTGAACCGCGTCACGATATCGTGCCTGAGATGCGGTGGCACGGTGCCGTCCAGCCGCAAGTACGTCACGTTGGGGAAATGCACTCGCAGAAGGTCCCGCTCCACAATATCCAACATTCCCTTAAGCTGGCAGAACACCAACGCGCGGTGCTGCGAGACGACTGACCCGACGCCACTATCCGATGAAGACTCTTCTCCCTCGGCGTTCGAAACACCGATACCGCAGTCTAACAATAATTGTCTGAAATCGAAGCAACGTGTTAATGAAATATCGTGTGCTAGTCATTATAGAGATACTAACTTAGACACGCACGCCTTTGATATAAACAATATAAGAATCATTTTTTTCATATTTTTTTAACACTGTGTAGCCAACTCATGTATTAGGACAAGGATGAAAAAAGATGTAAACTTCTGTTACGTCGCAAATATAAATTCTGAGAAAAGAAACCGCCTTGCAAAGCGGAAAAGCTCTATTCACCGAAACACTTTTTTGGGAAAATGCTGTCCTTGTCCGTTGTAGGCATTGTCGGAAAGAGACAAGGCTATATCAACGAATTACTTATAAATAAAATTAATAATTAAAAAATCTTTAAATAAGAAAAAACAATGTTAAACTTTGTGGTAAGAGATTTGAGAAGAAATTTGAACATAAATTATATTAAATTTTTGTTTTAGATTAGGCTGTTATTATGTATTTAGTTGGTAAAATAAATAAATGTACATACTTAAGAGCAGGTAGCTTCGCGCTATGCGCAATGTCACTGATGCTAGATCGTTGCGCAAGCAACTGCTTCTGCACGCGGGCCCATTCGGGATGATCCGGGGTCAACACCAGCTTGGGATGGTTGCATACATTCTGCAGATAGTGGAGAGCCTGCGGACATGGAAGTGTTGTCATGAGTCGAAGTTGTAAAAGAGGAGGGTAGATAAAAAAAATTAACTTGCTTTTTCATTGCCAGCAGCTCTAAACTCTATATACCGTGTACTTTTTTTATAAAAAGATCTGTCTGTAAACTTTTGATGTATGCCCACATTTATCCAAATAAGATTAAAATACCTTGAAAACGTGTGTCCTCGAATGCGTCATTTCGGGCGTCATGTGTCGTTTGGAGAAGTGTTCGTAGAGCGAGCGCTGTAACGGACTAAGATCACAGTAGTAGTCCTGCGTGATCTTAGGTGGAAGTTCTCGTAATACATCTTCTTTGACGCGCCGAAGTAAGAATGGTAGTACCTGCACGAAGGGATCCATACAAATATGTAATCGAATATTTTAAACATTTAAAACAAAATATAATTTATGAACACTTTTTAACGTGAAATATGTTAGTAAAATGCATAAATAACATTTAACTAACTAATGAGTGATTTTATGCAATGAATACCTTTTAAACCGTTATTTACATTTATATACAGTATCTAAAAGACAATATCTTACCTGACATAATTCTTTCACATAATAATATTTTAAGCAACGGATATAAAACATTTAAAGGTGGTATATCAGTGTACATTGAAAAACAGCAATTTAGTACGTGTAATTTACCTGTCTGTGCAGCTGTTCGCAAGCGAGCGCACCGGCTTGGAGATGATGCGGCGCAGCTTTGGGATCCCGCGATAGAAGAATAGGTCGCGAGTAACGTGCCGTGAACTGGCGAGATGTGCCTAACAGCCCCGGCATGAGAAAATCGAACAACGACCACAGTTCTAAGACGTTGTTCTGGAAGAAGAAAGATTCATTTTAAATCAGAAATAAAAATAATAACAACACAAAATAAAATGCTAAATAAGTAATAGAAAATAAGTAATACAATATAAAATGAATATTGATAGCTGAATTGAATTCAATTCTTACTTGTATAGGTGTTCCCGACAGTATCAGCCTATGATTAGCTTCAAGCAGCTTAATAGCTTTGAATGCCTTCGTTTTCCCATTCTTTATAACGTGCCCTTCATCTAGTACGCAGTAGTTCCACTTAATGGAGCTGAAGAAATCAATATCCTTTCGAACGATATCGTACGAGGCTACGATAAGATTGTAGCGACAAACGTGAGCACGTAGACGTTCACGTTCCAAGGGGGGGCCCACGTACTGGAGGGGCTTTAGATATTTAGTCGATATGAACTTGTTCACTTCGAATACCCAGTGACCTGCAACAAAGGAAATATTAAACTATTCTTGTATCGAAGCGAAGCCAGATAAAAATAGTTATTGTAAACATTTTTCGTGATAGAAGTGGACAAACAGACATGTGGTTGATGGAAGGTAAAAAAACTCCTAAACCGGTAAAGGCCTATAACATTTGCGACACGATGTGCTGTTTTGACTTTGGATATTTTGCAATCGACAGACTGAAACTTAACGCGATTAAAATTAAGGGCTTTGTCATTAAAAATTTTAAAATAATTAAACACATATTTCATTAATTAATTTTATAATCTGTTTACAAACAGCAAAACTTTTTCACTATACTAAAAGCCAAAAATTTATCAATATATTTATTCTACACTCACCTGTAAGAGTGGGCGGACAGACAACGAGCGATGGCAACGTGGGTGCACCGGCCTGTTCGCGCTCATAATGAGATCCAGCCACCACCACGATGGATTGCAAGGTCTTCCCTAACCCCATATCATCGCAGAGAACTCCGTGTAGTTTGTATTCATAGAGGAAACGAAGCCAATTTACTCCCGCCTGTAAATTTTGAATTATTAGAAATTTAACCGATAACCAATTTTGTCACATTAATATATACACATCCTCGTCCAATATTGCGGGAGAGGTGCATGTATCAATACGTTAAAAAAATCGACGATGACGTGTAACGCAATTGGTTAGAGCAACAACACGGAGCGCCTAATTATCATTACTCTTTACATGATTCCACTATAGCCAAGCAGCAGCAGCAAAGATGCTTTGGGCCCGTTTAAGTCCCGCCCGTGTCATCAATATTTTTTTTTACATCTAAATAGATATCCGGCACTATGTTCTATCCAGTGATTAAGTATCGGATGTAATTAAATACAAACCTGTTGATAGCTCCGGAGCTCGGCCGACACTGGTATTGGTATCTTATAATCTTTTATGGACTTCGGGTTAAACAGCTGATCAATAAAGGTACGGTCCCTTTGTCGGCGCTCGCGTAGCTCCGGTGACAGGTTCGGAGGCTCGGGCACCGCCCCGTCCAATGGCATCAGTTGAATTAATGTGGCGAAGCACCGCGTCGACATTATTCGGACCGATTCATTATGGTCGCTCATACGCCCTGAAATTATTTTACGATATTTATGTGTGTTGTTTTATCAAACACTATATTACAATGGATTATTGGATGGTCAGGTAGAATAATAAAAATAAACGTTTCTTCGGTAAGGACTATTTAAGAAGTCCAAAATCAATAGACACACGATACATAACTACTGAATCGATCTAAGCGAATTAATATTGGAAACGCAGTAAGTTCGATACATCGGCAGTAATCTATAACGCGACCGACCGTTCGTTACTAATATTGGCTTTGAACAAGACTGAATCGCTTCATGATAAGAACAGGGCTACCCGGCGTGACTGGGTGGATATTTTAAAAGTCTGATATAAAACAAACAAACTCAATCATAGTATGTCAAACGTCAATGCCATATCAACGAAAAAAAAATTTTTTTAACAAGATATTAAAATTGACTCGTCACTAATTTAACTTACTTCTTATATTGTTATTGACGTTGAGAAATTTAAGAGAATATTTACCCAGCAACGGTACTAGCAGAAGCACAATGTATGGCACCAATTGTAGTTGCAACGCGTCTACTAAGCGTGCGAGCGCCTCGGCCGCACCGCATCGCACGACCTCACTACCTTCACCGAGCGAGTCAATCAGCTGAAAATATTTACATTTAAATCATACACATATACAGCATTTGTTTTACTAAAGAAAATATAAGTTTTTATAAAAAAAATTCTTGTTAAATTTCTGTTCCAAAGATAGAAATAAGCAGAGGCGACGAAAAAGTCACCACTTTATTTCTAATTAAAATTCATGAAGAGATAGAACTGTTTTTACATTTTTAGCGATTCGTGCCCAAAATGTTTAGCGGGAGCCTATTATTGAGCCTTTATCCCCCCAATAAGTGCTATATTTTTATGACAATACTAAAAACTAAATAAAGAACTATATATAGGAGCGACAGAACATAATTCACATGTAGCTTCCTTTTCAGAGGCAACAATATTGTCGTTTTTAATTAAATTGTGTTTCTTTGATATTCTTATTCTTTAATAATGATAGGAAACCCTCCTTCCGTTTTACCCTAGATCGCTTCTAATATTACCTCTTGTATTAGCATATCCATGACAGTATGTGCTTCTCTCTGAGCCATGGCAGCCAAAACCCTGGCTGCCATGTGCCTCAGTGCAGTATATGGAGCCCTTGTAAGAGCAGCGCACGCCTGGACGCCGGCTGCTACCCGCGCCCAGGCGGAGCGACCGAGGTGCGGGCAGACGGCTTCTACCACCTGAAGCCGAGATATGAGCTCGTCGCCCATGTCTGCTTCTATCATCTCCAAGTCTGTAACGTTGCAATAGATATAAATATTCAAGAAATACTTTATCTTGCTTTATGTAATACATACAAAGCATGGTATATAATTTATTATGTGTCCATACCAGAGTCATTGAGGACTTTTTCAAAGGGTTCAGTTATGAACTCCCATAATTTTGGGAGTTTATCAGGAAGTTCGTCCCCAAAGAATTCAGCGAGACTTATCAGTGCCATCGTCGCGCCTCGTCTTTGTATGCGCAACATTTTTCGAGCCTATAAATTAAAAAATAGCTTTATTGTTGAAGGCCGGGTGATCAGTCCACGATATACGGATTGCGGAGAAAAGTAGCTTTAACAAAATCTCCTAATAAAAATGGTGACACACAAAACTTTTTTACTAAAATATATCGTATATTTTAGTAACGACTTAAAAGTTGTGAAAGAAATGTAATGTATTTGAATTAATATGACTGGAGACTGAAACTAAAATTTCTATATAGCTTCTCTCTTTATTGACAAAAGGAACTTACATGGTCTTCATTAGCAAAAAGCTGTTCAATTCCAATCTCTAAACCAGGTGTATGGTTAGCTGGTGGTCGACCGCGTCTTGGCACAACTGTTTCCGCGGTGCGTTGCTGTTCCCGTAAGGTTAAGATGCCGATGTGTCTGTCCACTAGAATTTTTAACGTATTTTCATAAATGCTTTACACTACTTACACAATACTTTGCAATAAAACTGTAATTACTTTATAAGCTGGAAGCGTTTTTTTTATGTCTATGTGTTTTTATGAAACCGTAACTACTTATTTTGGTTTTGTGACGTTAGACATAAAAAAAAAATAAAGACATGGCCAGGACTTGAACTCGTATGCAATATGTGAAAAATAATTTTCAAACGTTAAACTCTATAATTTCATCTTCAATGATTTTTATAAGCTGCAAAGCAAATGATATTGAATCTTAATGCTGAACGCTGTTGATACCGGTTCAAATCCTATCGTATCGTAATTTGTTTTCAATCTAAAATCGATATTTAATTTACATAGTACCATCATGTGCTGCTTAAAAAATCGACTTTTGATTCGGAGTGATGGTTGATTAAGATCAGCCATAAAATGCTACCGTTACAACAATAAAGCCGAGACCTTCCCACATTAATATTGTATGCATCTTAGATTAAAGTTACTGTTTTGGTAGTGAATAAGACTCACATGGCGGCAGATGACAAGCGAAAGGTTCTAATTTATTCTCCGCGCCGCTGTCTCCGCTCCCCGAGTCTGCGGTACGTTCGCTTCGCTCCTCTCCCGTTTCTAACGATATCTTTGGTGTGTATTCTGGATCGCATCTAGGATATATGAAACACGCATAAAATCTGTGTAATATTAATAGAGTTAATTTATTTACTCTCTATTACTAATCCATAAAGTTTTTAGTATACATATTTAGAAGTCACAACTCACTATTGACGTCTACTCACTATCTTACGTCATTATTTAAAAATACACGAATCAAACCTCTCGCGCTTAACCCAATCTTAGGCAATATATTTATTTATGTAAATTGTTTCGCCCAGGTAGAGCACAAAAGTTAGATCAACCACATGCCGGCAAAAGAACCGATCAGCAAAATGGACACAGAAAAGTGTTAGCTCTATCCCCCTGTCCATATAATGGGAAACGTGACTCCCTTTTTAATTACTGTGACATGAAAATTAACTAACCGTAAGAACGCTTTCAAGTTGATCAGCACTTTGTTATTGGGACACGATTCCCTAGGTTGAAGTGTGGCTAGCAAATGAGCCAATGTGTGCGCAGACGCAGCTTGCAAATCCTCGGACGTCTCTCTCTTGATGCTGTCCATCAGTGGCCTCACTACGGGGTTCAATTTGTCCGGCAATACCCGTAGTGTTGCAACTGCTCCACTTATAGCTGCTTGTACTCTGTTTCGTAAGTAATAAGAAATATATTTAATAACGATGGGAATCCGTATCAAAAAACTTCGACTCGACCCCCACGGCCCAACATTTTCGAAGCTATATAATTTTCTGAAACATTACGGCCTTCGTCTAGAAATCAGGATATTAAATGGATTGATAATCGATATTCCTTCAGGGTCGCGAACCACCCTCCACAGATAAGCCGGCAACTTTATTCGAGTTTCGGTTTAAGTCTGTGGATTTCCGATCATCCAATGCCACAACTACACCTGCCAATAAGTGAAACCCACGCTACTCCGTCCTCCTCTATAAAACGGTGAGCGAAAATCAATGGATTTATAAAATTAAACTTGCCTATAAAACGCTAAGGTTACTTCTATTGACAACCCTTACAAGCCATTCAATGCCAAAATCAGTTGTTCTTATTCTACTTTTTTAGGTCCTTTAATCGTTTTGAATAATTTAATAGTTCTATAATATACTGACGAGATATTGAGGGAGCTTTGATCCAATGAGCATTGTGTGACAGCTGCATGCAGAGCTGAACGGCGTTCCTCGAGGCTGCTCGACACTCGCTTGCTTTTCATCGCGGTTAGTAAAGGCTCAGTCACCGTTGTCATCTGTGCTACCTTTAAAATTAAAGACCAAATATATTAGTTAACTCATAAACATATAGATAGAGTAGAAATTCAAGCTTATAATTTTACTACTGTGTATATTATAGTATATATGGACGGCAATCAGTTAGTCTAAGAATTACATGGTTACAATACATAGAAATATTTATAATTAGTATTATTATTATTATCATAGTCATTAAACTGCAAGTTATATAATAATATTCAATATCTTCAAGACATTCTACATATCGACCGACTATTTTGTAAACATATCATACGTAATTTGTTGTTTATTTTTTTTATTATTGTTGTATAAATGTGTTAGATTTAAATTATTATACATAAATGTAATTTTAATTGTTTTAATTAAATAAACAAAACTTAATTTGATTTGTATTCAACTAGTGGCGCCATCTGTTCTAAAGGTTTTGTAACGTAGCAAGTGATGTTACAAGTGATAAAACGCACACAGACGTTATCTTCAGTGTGTAACTATTATACTATAACATTTAGAGAACTTTATATACCTGTTCCAGTCTTAGTATACTGTTAAACTCTTCTCCTACTGGTATCTTATAGTGCTTCATCATAGCGAGCAGATCACGAGCCTCTTGTAATATTCTGTGAAGGAAATTGAAAGTAAATAACGCTTAAGTTTTATTTTAATAATCAATCAGTCAATCGGACGCAAATATATGCCCGCCTCATTGCACTCTCTTGGGTGAATAAGTCAGTAGTTACTTAAACTTTTCCTTACTATTTTAATCACTATACATCAAGAAGAGCAAACCCTTACCTGTTACAGTTTAAAGCAACTTCGTCGTAGTAGAGGACTTGAATTAGTGCCGTGTGCAAAGTCGATACTAGTAAGGGCGGTGCTAACTTTGATATATCACTAACTTCGTTTGAATCCTGTAAAACATTGGTAAATTTATTAACAACAATATAATAATAATATATTCTGCCCGAACACCCCCGAACTCAGTGGATAAACTTATTGCCCAGTTTGCGAGATAAATTGTTTTGATCGGGCATAGCAAAGTTTGAATGACTAAGCGCCTGTGAATAAAATAATTTAGTGAACCAGACACAAAAATATGTACGTCCCATAGCACACAGTGAGAAGGGGAATTTCTTCATTTACCATATTTAACAGGGATTTAGTTATAGTTACAACGTTCAATTTATATTCTGAATGATTTATGTCAAAGTACACAGTCTATACACCAGATCAGAAAGTTGATTACCTCCGATTCCATCTGATTGCGAACATCCGGTGGAAATAGGTCATATTTGATAGTGTGTGTCGCCCAAGACGATATGACTAAGCTGGCCACTATGCGCTGGAGTGCACTCCCTCCGCGAAGATAAACCACCATAACCTATATGTATAGGTTCTTTGTTAAAGAGACACAGTGTAAACACTACTTTATATCATCTCGAATTCAAGTACACGTACCTTAGTGTAACAATCTATGGGGCTCTCATCTTCGACTTTATAATCTATACCGGGAGCCGGCTGGACTAGATAACACGATAAATAACCTGAAACAGAATTTAAATTTAAAAGAAAAGTTAATGTTGTGTTGTTTAATACAATCAGCGCGACATCATATTAAAAACTCAATGCATAACCGCAGTCGCGTTATTGTTCTATCAACCTTTACATGGTCCTTCGAGCCGGGCTATGATATTCGGGATATGTTCGATATTATCGAAGAGTTACTACCCCATGCACACAGTCTTTTAATTACAAAATTCAAATTAAATATAATTAAATAAAATACCAACCTAAAACTTTGGCAGCGAGTACTCTAGCGCGCGTAACGTTGCGCTCGCGCAGCGCGCCTGACTGCGTCTCACTCCCACCCAACAGCCACTTTTGTGGGGGCCTAGTGTCTGCGCTTTCTTCACTTTCACCTAGCGATGACTGCGATGTGGTGCGTGGTCGTCGCTCCTAAAATAACACTTAATTATTGATTTTAATGGCATATTGCTTCTAATATCCAGTCCAAAACTAGACATCAATTGAGTTAAAGATAAACAGGTACGACTATATACGTATACTTAACTAGTCGTTAGTATTTATTTTTGAATGTTTACACAGGCAAATATTAAAGTTTTCATAGACATAATAGTTTTCCTAAATCTATTCCCACTTGCAATAGCCATTTTATATGGATTTTTATTTACGAAAATAAACATTATAAACAAAACAATCTTGCTTTTCCTAGCTACCTTAGGTGGTGTATATAGAAGCATCTCGGGCTCAACAGGCAACTTTGCAGGCTGCATGGCGAGGCACATCCACGTAGCTAGCATGGGACAAGCCGCAACTAGAATCACACCGAGAGACGCGTGTCGAAGTAGATTTTCCCATACCTGCAAATATTTCAAGATTAGCTACACGTTTTTCGTTATTTCAAATTATTATAGCTCTAAAAGGTTTGCAATAACATTTAACATATATTGAATAGTTAACAACAAATTTTAAACTTCCTTGAAGACTGATTGATTAAAAATTGTTTTAATCGGGTACGAAATAGACAAAACATCAAGAAATTTGTCGGCACAGACATGTAGCGACAGATTTGTTGATAGAAGAGTTTAAAAGGTACTAAGAAACGTAAAAATGTGTAATAAAGATACGACAAGATTAAAATTTATTATCCGTGGAAGAAGTCTCATATAATAGAGTTTTATGTATAATTTACATCTATGGCACTATGCATTCAATCGCAAGCATCTAAAAGAATTTTAGTTTAAAAGAAAGAGTTTTATCAGTCGGGTCTGACAGTCGCATTTGTTCTATCAAAGATTTACCTGAATAGCTATTTCCTGTATTTCATGCACATGTTCAAATAAAATCCTTTGATAAATATGCCTCATCGTTGCCTGTAGTAACTCGGGCGTCCACATCAACTCTGTATCACTTAGGCTACCCCCATTGCTATGTACTGAGCTTTCACCGTTGACTTTATCATTATTATCACTTGTATGACCGTTGGTGGTGACTAGAGGTTTGGTTAGCGTTCTGAGTGTCTGTAAAGTCGCCTTGCGAACGGAACTTGTGGAGTGGTCGAGGTAGGGCCACAAACGGGGTAGGACGTCCACTAGGTCAATGGGGCTGGAAAAGAAGAATGAATTGACATTAATGTATATCTCAAATATATTTCTAATGTACAGTAATTTAAAGATATTAGTGCTGCCGTTGCTGTGTATTTCCAATATAATACTGAATAGCAGGTGTTAGAAAAAATAATAATTCTGAAATACGCTGTTGATACTCATAGCACGAATAGTGTGTTGTAAAATACGTAATGATGTATCAAATGCCGCTGCGCTGGCTTAAAAGCAACTCTATTGACTACGACTTCGGTCGCGGCTGTGTTCAACGTTCTACTTCTACGTGTTTTTGCTCGGCCCGGTTAGGTGTCAGTAGAGGAAACATGTAACATTCATTTTATTGTTTGTACGACATGTTATATATTCTTACTACTATAACATTATTTAAAAAATATTAAGGTTTTAATACAACAATTTTAACGGTTTGAAACGCGAAAATAAAATATGTACCACTCGTGTAAATTACACAGTATTTAAGGTATTAAAGTAATCTAATTTATAAACACTTAAAACTAAAACATATTACTGTACTCACTGTAAGAGAGTAGCGGCAGTGGGCAGCGCCATAAGTGCAGCAAGCAGCGCCATATAACAGTTGGCAGGGGAGGCCAAATCGTCCTGCTCGTGCAATAATTGCCAAAGCCGAGCAGCGAGGCGCGGGACGGCATCCGGCCGACTGTTGGCCAGCGCTGGTGCAGCTGGAGCCAATGCCCCAGCAGCGACAGCAGATACGTCTTCTGCGGAGTCTTCTAGACCGGATATTAAGTGTTCTAGAGCCCCGCTTTCAACTGCCACGTCCTAGAATAAATAAATTATAGACGTTATTGTGATTGTACTCAATAGATGTGGTTTTTTGGCAGAAATGCATATTATTTTTAGTGCATTTCGCTCTGTTACAGTAATGTGTGTGCACCTTTTTTTGCAAGCCCAGATATTTAAATAAAACCGTTTATAACGTTTGAACGGTTTTATTGTAATATCTGAAAATAAAAAAGGATTTTTATTAAAATTTGTACTATTCGCAAAATTTGTACTATTTGTAAGATATATTTTATATAATTTTTCTTTTTACAATTCTTGTTAATGAAGTAACTAAAATAAACACGATGCCTAGAAATAAAAATGAAACAAATCTTTTTATGTTTAAGTGCCGATTAGAAATATATGTAATTATACTTTATATCTGTAATTTTTATTATCTAAGAGTTTCGCCATTTATTAATAACTAGCTGTTACCCACGACGTCGCCCGCGTTCGTCTTCTTGTAAGTACTAACTTATTATTAAGATTACTTAAAAGTTAGACATAAACTGTGGGGAACATTTTTTGAGATCATGTAAAGATCACTCTTTCATAAATATATTTTGTATCTTAGACCGGTTTCGCAGCCCACGCAACAGAAACCCTCAAAGATTAATATTTCTACTGTTTCTTTGCTCCCCTTGGTCGCAGCGTGACGTAACATAACCTAAAGCCTTTTTCGACAAATGGTCTAACGCGGAAATTTTCAATACGAACCAATAAGTTCCTAAGATTAGTGCGTCCAAACAAGCTCTCCAGCTTCATAGTATTAGTACAATGTAGTCTTTTTTGTAGCCATTACCTGCCTCGCTGCAAGAAGGTATTTAAAAGCCAGTAGCGCCCCATGCCTGGCTTCCCACTGTTTTTGACTAGCGAGGGCCGCCACCTTCTCGGCGACCGCTTTCACACGACAAGCACGCATTTGGGCCAGCGTCACTCCCAATGTCTGCGCACACGTTTCTCTCACTGGTGCTACCACCTACGTATAAAAATATTGTATATGCAAGAATCAGGTATGGCCATTATAAGTTAATCGATAGTATTGACTTTCCGTTTTATGCTGAACTACCCACTTCGACATATATGAAAAAATCATCGCATCCGATCCACAACGAAGAAAACAAAATTTTCCCAGTATTTGAACCCACATATTACAACTGAGTCACGCAGGTGGTCAACAGATTACTAATTAACCATAGTGTTTGGTTATAAAAGAACCTTAAGGGTTGAAAACAACATACAAAACATGTTTATTAATAACTTGTACGTTTTAAAGCCAAGATAAAGTCTAACTTTAAATTAAACAATTATAACGGTTTAAAACGTGAATCATATTTGTTACCTAATTTTTAATTCACGACCACATCTGCTGCAAAGCAACCGTGGGGTCGTAGTGAAAATAGATAAAAAATATTTAATATGTTTCGCTGTTAAAATTGTTTGATTTAAAGGCTCTGCTGGGTTAAACAAACAGTATTTAAATACCTGATCAGAGACAAAGTCTCCGAAGCGATCCAAAGCCAGCACGCTAAGCAGACGCAACGCCATGTCTTCCAACCACTCTTCATGCCATTCCTTCAACTGAAAGACACAATACATAATGTGAAATATAAATAACATTATTCTTAAATATTCAAATATTCCTACCTATTTGGTAGGTAGACATTTTTTCATTATATGCTTATTTTAGAACTGAATCTGAAGAACATTGGAGTAAAATATCACACACTGCATAAATATAAATTTACCTGTTCAGGTGTATCAGGCAAACGAGATTTCCCCGCATAAGCAGAATCGGCGATGGGTGACTTGAGTAACTCCCTCAATGCTGACGCTGCTCCGTGGCGTGCTTCCCACGCTCCACTGAACAACTGCCCTTGGAGGGCACCGCACCACCCTTCTAATGGCCACCGAATACAATCACCCCAGCTGCCGCCTCTTTCGGGTACGCCAGCGCCGCTATCAACTGTGATTTTTTTAATATAAAGGAAGACAGACAAGCACTTGATGGGAGGTGAAATACCACAGCCATACAACATCTAAGCAAGATGCGCTGGCGGCTTAAGATATGCAAATAATATATATCGAATATTTGAATAAGTTAATAGGTTTTAGTTCGAGCTACAAGACCAAAGTATTTAAAATTGTTAATAGTATGAGTCAAACTATTGACTTTTAATAGTATTATTAATTTCTATTGGGGTAACCGGTAGAAGGCCGGGTGATCAGTCCATCCTATTTGCTAACCACTTTACTCATTCTCCCATTCCCCCTTTGAGAAGGTCATTGGTTCCTTTGTAGAATCTTAACAGTTGTTCCGTCTTAATTCTTTGATATTGTTAGTCCCCATGTGTTTTAGATAATGTAACTAACATATATAGTCCTCTGTGGATTCCAACTTCAACTTCTTTCTTTCTGGCTCGGACGGTGGCGTCGAGGCCTCCTCCCTTTCGCTGCAATCACGAGACTTTTGCTTGCTGAACGCTGCACGCGCTTTGCGCTTAGCCACGTTTATCTCGCGTGAACTGAGAGGTTTCGTGGTTGGCATAAGCTCTTGGATTGGTTTCTGTAACGCAATTTAGATTACATTGTTACATAATAGCGTTCGGTTTGCTATAGAAATATAAAATCGAAGACTACTAGGGACATCTTGTGGTCTGAAATGGTGCGTCTGGGGTAAATATCTCTTGGTTTCTTACGAAACCCGTTTGTGGTCTACCAACTACTTACTTCTTGGAAACTCAATTAAAGCATAATTCAGTAGTACCCAACAATGTTGTATTTAAACCATAAATATGTATATCATGTTCTTAGTAACTACTTAATACATGAATAGTATATATAGTTTCAAAAAATGTAAGTACACCAAGAGCGACTCGCAATTTTAGAATTAAACTGTGTGTCTTAAAATTACTTACCCGGTTAACTTCATTTACTTTTTTTTCACTTTTGACCGGGCACAGGTCTTCATTGGTGTAAACCGAGTTAATATCGACTCCCAGTGTCGCTGCCATGTCGAGCCCAAGACGAGCGTTTAGTTGTTGGCGTTGCTTCGCTAAGCGATCTTGCATTTCTGGAATAAAAAAGTTGGGAAAAACCATTAATAACGAACGAACGTCTCTGTTTGAATAAAGGTACTACACGACAGGGAATTTCCCGCGCCTTTTAACATGTGAGCAAGATGCGTTGTTGAATTGTTTTGATTTGGACGGAAAACCAGTTACAAAATGGCCGCCGTTACAGATTATCTATTGACGGCGGTACGTGACCCAAACGTTCAGTAATCATAACATTCATTTAATATCCAGATTTTCCAAAGGCAGTTAAACGTGTTTCAAAAAAAATATTCATTGATAAGCGAGATGTTGGACCCAGTGAGGATATTTGATGATTACCCCTTGATGTTTAGCAATATCTACTAGCATTAAACCATCGATTCTGTGAATTAATATTGAATTACCATGATATCTCATTAAATTAGAGACAAGATTTTCATATGATAGGTTTTTAACTAGTCTTAGTGAAAAGATAGGATTACAGCTTATGTCGATGGTTGAAGTTTGTCATGTGGAAATTCAATGAAAGTAGATTATCTTCCGGCACTAAAACCGTAAGCGAAAGTAATAAGCGTCTCAGTGACGTATATCTACAGTAGTATGTTTATTATTTTTTACGTAACCAACACAAACAAAGCATTCTTAGAGGTTTTTGCCTAACTGGATTATTCATAATCTTATTATTTTCTTTTCACACAAAACACACAGCCGTACAATCTTTCCTCTGGTGTAATGCTAAATTTTATTTTTTTAACAAGGGAAAATTTTACTGAAAAATCTCTATTGGATACGATCACGATATCTCATCGTTTTTTATATTTTCTATTAAAAAAAGCTTTTTTAATTCTATTTTTATATGTAAAATATATGAAAATAATAATATCTCAAGCTAGAAGTCTAAATTTATTTTTAAAACAATGAAAAAACAAACAATCTCATAGTCCACAACGTTATCGCGAAAAGAAATCTGACGAAATTACACTCGTGTCTTATCATATCCTTAATCAGGCTGGTTCGGTAATTAATCATGTTATCTTAATTGTTATTACTTAACACTTTTACAATGCAGTCAGATGGTTAGTTTAGAATATGTTAGTTTAGTATGACAACACGGCGTTGAATCAGATTCCCTACGAATCGTAAAAATAAATAAAGAAGAAGATGAAGAAATATAAAGTTATCGCTTTAATCTACTCATGTGACCGATTGGCACAGTCGACAGTCTCCTATCGATCAAGAAAGAGGGTTTTAAAAGAGACGTATACTGCCGGATGGCAGGTTTTACCGACTCCTAAATCAGTATTTACCGCTACTTTCGAGCTAGGACTTGGTAAAACCTCTGATCTCCGACCTAGAAAAGGTCTTATTAATCTAAAGACAGGAGGATCCGGGACCTCGTGTTTTATCGCTTGGATTAACACTAGGTATAACTTCCGACCGAGTCAATATTCGCTTAGTATAAGTCGACAAAAAAATGTTAATTACCTGATGAAGTTTATAATAGTAAATTTAGCCCATAGAATTACAATCTATGTATCTCTAGTTACCTGCAGCATTTTGCGGCTCATCGTCTATCTCGTATTCGTGGCCTTCGGAGCCCATCAGGTGAGCGCCATGTTCTAAAAGTCTTTCTATGTCAAACGCCTCACATGATAGTAAAGTGCCACCTTCATCTTCTTTCTGCTCTTCCGCTGGAAACAGCGTAACATAAATCAATCGAAAATGTATATTTGTTTTAAACAATAAAAATTCTTTATAAGGTATATCGCAGCTGAGACAAAAATAATTATTTACGATTTGCCTCAACTTATATTAACATAAGAATAGTCGGATGGTATTAATTATGAGAAATTAACCATCAGTCAACAGTTCTTGACGCAATACTGTTTTGTCAATATGCATAATTAAAAACATTTTAATGTATAGATTTTCTTTGTTGAGTACAGTCAGTATTGATAATTCATACTTTTCATATAATAACGTGGTAAAATACTTATATTATTTGGATAGGCATTTTGTACTCGTGCTATATGTTGTCGACATAGGAAATCCAGAGCAACCCACTTTCGTGAGCGTGATAATAGAAATAAACGATATTATCGTAAAACTCAGTCTCTACAAATGAGTTACTTTGGGTCTCTTAATTAATTTTTATTAAATATGATGAAGCTATTCGTCATTGGTTATTTACTAACCTCATAACGATTTAAGTACAAAATAAGGACTATTTCTTAGTTTACGTTTCTTTAAAATTCTAGATAAATACATGAAACCACTTATTTCAGAAGCCGATTGTCATGACATATCTCTATACTAATATTATAAGAGCTCAAAAAACAAACTCTTTTTTGTTTGTTTGACCGCGCTAATCAATAAACTGTTGAATACTCCATTTATTGTGGAAGGCTTTAGACTAGATAAAATCACACTGCGACTATTAGAAAGAAGAAGGAGGGGAAGAGAGGGGACTATCTTTGAGAGATTCCGTTGCGTGCGCTGCGAAAACGGTTAAAGATGCTCAAAAAATATGTATGAAAGAATGATTCATCTCTAAATGATCTTAAAAATGTCTGTATATGACAGCATATGTTTGTATATGACGAGACGCGTAAGTCATGGGTAACAGCTGCAGGTATGTCAGAAATGGTCGTTGCCATAAAAAGATAACCTAGTCAATTCTCACCTCTATATAATTTTATCAACTTGGTCAATGATCTGCAAGTAATTCGATGCGACGCGCGGTAACGTGGAATCTAGTTGACCTATATATGATACCGGGACAATATATCTGACCTCCCCGCTGCTTATTTCATTAATATGGTGAGATCATCACTTTTTGTTCATCTCTTTTAGAACAGTGGAGTCTTGAAGCGCAGCTCTTAGTCATTAAACACAAATTAGCCTATTGCGTTTATCGTAAAACGTCATTCAATGGTGGACACAAGCAATGAGTAATGTTGTCTTGTGTTAAAAATAAACTAAGTACATTAATTTTCTAATCGATGTGTTCAATGTTTCGTTTCATTTAATGTTATGCAGCATGAAACACAAAAATCGTTCTATGCAATGAGCTGCGTAAATTTGTAGGCCTTTTGCAAATAACTAGCTAGCTTTTACTTATTTTCCATTCGCTAGACAATATTGATGCTATATAAACTCTTGTTTTTGACATCTATACACCTGTAGAGTTTATTTGTTTGTATGAATGCGCTAATCGCAGGAACTAGTGGTTTGAATTTAAAGAATGTATTTGTGTTGAATAGACCATTTATCGACGAAGGTTTTAGGATATATAACATCACACTGCAACCAATAGGAGCGAATTAACAGGGGAAAAGTGGAAAATCCAGGGAAATTTATTTATCTTTAAGGGGTAAGGTGATTGCGCTGCGAAACGGTTCAAATAATTTAAAAAAATATTACGAAAGATTGATTTGTCTTTATTTTTATTAGTCTTAAATGTTCTAAAAACATGTCACGAATTGTCAAATGCCGCGTAAGTACATATGTCGATATTTTAAAATGAACTAGCAAGAACTTATGTTCTGGAATTCAATTTTGGACGAAAATAATGCCAACTTCCAATTATTATTTGTTAGACTTGTGTCAGCATATTGATATTAACCTTGCAAACAACAAAACTACGTTTACCGGATCAGCTAAATATTTATATAAGTGAAAAAATAGAAAATTGTTATCGTTGCAGTTAGAGACCAATTAGTGTATTACCAAAGACGTAATTTTTTGTAATAATTTAATGTTAATTTTTGTAATGTAATAGAAATAATAAAACACTTACTTTTGCATCCGACGAAGGTCGGCCTCCATTCCGGGACATTAGTAAGTATCGCCTCGATAGCCTAATAAAAAGAAATTACGTTAATTAATGATAAATAATAAAGATAATGAGAACAAAATTAATTCAGGTTTATTCCAATGTCTCCGGAATTAGGGCGTGGCTTTGTTACTGCTATAACAAGTAGTTGACATTGAGCATTACAGTCACATTCACCATAGTTAGGAATAGTATACGGAACAGCAATTCAAAGACCTTTCAAATGTGCGCTAGAAAAAACAAATAAACGACTTGTTGGGTAAAATTGACACGGCTTTATTATAATTATATTTCGAAACATTATAGCCACCGTCAATGGCTAAACCAATTGCATAGCGTAAGGTCCTGGGTTCGAATCGGAGGGAAACAGATACAGGGCACAGAAGATGAGCAATTTGTCTGTAAAAAAAAACGATCACTGAAACAGACTAATCAAAGCGTCTGTCTCAAGGATAAAAACTTTCGTGGCTCAGTCTATGGTAAAATTAGTTTTTAAGTATATTTTTAAATTAAGAAGCGTAAGCAAAATCACAACGGTTTGTATAGGTGATGCGGTCTATCCTATATTCTAATAAAGTTATCATTTCACGATTATTATTTGAACGTGAATCAGCAGTAAGTTCTTCCTTATCATGTGTGTTTTGAGGTCAAGCCCGATAACCCATCGGACTGTCAGGTAGGCGTACGCTGAAATCGACAGATAGCGACAATAGTGTTGTTACTTAGTTGCACTTTGCATCCAATTATGTATGTATTATTCCCGCCAACATACATCGCTTTGCATCGGCCATTATACCGAACAAAACGCAAAATCTTCAAATAGTTATTTAATTTAATGCGATGTGGTATGGCGTTTTACCTTATGAGGGGGTGAACACAATTATTAATTTCCCCAGGATTCGATCTCGCACCTGCCGTCCTTAAAGCAGTGGTAGGCATTTAACTAGGCATCGTATCATACCACAATTTAAATTCAGTACTCAAATCTATGAGTTTAATGTGCGACAGAGAGGGAAACACTTTAATTTTTTTACCAAAAATATCAATCATCTCTTTTCTTGTTTTCTTCGTTCTTTTTTTAAATAGGTCGCTTAATTTCTTCATACCGTGCAACAAGATAATACATTGTGTATTTAATTTTAAAACATTTGCAACTATCCTCAAAGCGAAATATTAAATTCTACAGTGTTCTAGCAATCGAAGTGTGTGTCTGTGACCAAATATCACCTGCGTCGCTGCGATCCTTGTTTCCCAAGCAGGCGAACGAAGGTGTTTCATGAGCCTCGCCAGCAGTCTGTGCAGCTCCTCGGGGTGAGCCTTCTGCACCTCCCCAAGCTGGCGAGCAGCCGCGCGGCGTGTTGCCGGCCCAGTTCCTGCCTCCAGCAGTACGAACAGACGATCCAACCTAAATTCAATATATAGCTTTATGTTGTATATGTTAAGCACCTTAACCATCAGACAGTATATTTGTTTAAATAAAAAACTTTAACGGTTTACGGGCCGTGACCACAGCTTCTGCAAAGCATCCGAAACGTCGTGCCGTAGTTAAAATATTTTTCAAATAAAATGGACTAATATTAATTGCGTTAAACCGTTGAAGCGTTTTATTTAATGCGTACTACGCGCGTAAACTACAGACAGTATTCAGTATATTTGTGTTACACATAGGTATTTGTTTAATTATTTTACGTTATTATCGATATTTTATGAAGATTACTTGAAAAATTATATTAACAGACAAGCTGTTGTTGTGGTAATAATATATTACTTAATTCTGTATAATACGTCATTTTCCGGATATTTAAAACCGGGAATTTCTCGCAACGCCCTATCAACTCGTGTTAGTTATTTAAGGTACATATAAATTGTACCTAAGAGATAAACAACTTAAAACCGGTTTCACTAATTTTCTTATCCTAATCGCCATTTCAATAATTATAATACATTTAATTACGTTAATTGAAGTTACATACGATCTTAAGTGAAACAAGTTTATTGGATGGCAATTGTTAAGTGATATGCAAACATGTTGAATGCTACTTTCCTTTTTTACGTAATTATAATATGGCTTAACGTAAAAAATATTTAAATCACCTACCTGGAAGTCATATTGCAGACTTGATGTTTTCCTTTACTGATACCTCTGAAACAATACATTTTTAAATGAAAGACCAGAAGACTCAAAAAGCTTAAAGGGAAAGAAAACCTTTTGGAAGAGAAAAGGTCTTTCTCAAAAAAGTTCAAAGGGGTTGCATGCAGATTTATTAACATGTGACGTAAAACTTTTATTAATCATTCGACTAGGTGAGGAACGAAGCATATATGTGTTTTAAACATTTATTTACAATACTAAAATAGCACGCTACTCTGGTAATTTTCCAGAATTGAAACGCTGTTTCTAGCTAAAACATCGCTTTGGTAACTAATTCACAGGCACAGACCAAACATTGGGTTAGATGCAAGACGTCTTGGGTATGATTCCCGGGAAAGTTTATTTTTGTAAAATATGTCTAAAGATACTAAGTAGTCTGATATAATATTTGCGTATAAAGAAAAATGGGTTTTTTAAAAAATGACAGGCAATTGCAGTGACACAAAATTGACATTTTTATTTATTCACATATGGAAAACTTACCCTTAATAGTAGAGAAAATACAGCTCTAAAAAAAAAAAAAAAAAAAATTTTTGGGGGGGGGGGGGGGGGGGGGGGGGTTTTTTCCCCCAAAAAAAAAAAAGCCTTTTGTTTATCTTTCTTCCCCTATTTTAAAAATATAATTGTGTAACTTAAAAATGTTCTTTGTGTTGTGACATCATGTTATTGTAAATGTTTTTTTTTATATTAATTTAGTAATAAGGACCTGGGGAAGTGGGTGAAATGGTCAGCAAAAGTGCGTGGACTGATCACCCTTCTATCGCTGTCCTTAATAGATAATAATAACAATAATAAAAAAATAAGGACTTGAACCTTGCCACATCCACAAAAATATTAAAAACAAAGCTGGCTGTTGACACTCATTAATCAACCGATCATGCATTTGTCGGTCGTGTTATCCGCCAACGATTGGCACACTTTCTTTTTATTGATGCGAATCTCCTCTCGCGTATTGTACGTGTGTGTTTGTTCAACTTTCATCTAAACAACTGGTTTACTGAGATTTTTGAGATCTTTGATATTTGCTGCAATGTAAACATCTATAATTGGTACCATAGACTAGATAGGTAGGTAGGTAAATGTGGATATATCACTTTAAAAAACTCTAGGTACAATTGCCAACAAAAACTTTCCAAGTTTCCCTTCAAATTCTAGGAAGTAAACTCAGCATGCAAATAAAAAACTAAGCAAATAAATACCCTTTCTTACAGATACTAATGATAACAAATGTCACTTGACCTCACCTACTTCTAACATCGTAACATTATCTCTATTTATTCTTATGGTTAGACATATTAGATAAGTTTCCTTTTACATAAAAGTTATAATGATTCACATAAGAATTAAGTTCAAATCTACATACCTATATGTCATTCAAACTGATGTTTTTCTACGTAAATATTGTAATTATTATTAGTGATACTAGCTGTTAACGAGATATATTGTATGGAAGTTAATTGTTATTTCATTTTAATATACCTAATTGAGTTACAATTCTACATTAAAAATTCACATAGTAACGTTGGTAGCTTATCATACATGTTTGAGCAAAAAAATTCAGAAATGAGTCAACTAAGTTAAAATGTTAATACAATGATTATTTTGTACATTATATATTCTTTCAGGTAGCGACAAACAAATAGTTTTAGTCTTTAATTATTTTTATATGAGAATGAAATTGGTAAAGTAAGTAAATTGATTCTTCATCTTCTTAATAGAGCTAGCAATTTGTTTGTGCTTTGTTTTCTCCCCACTTAAGTTTTTAAGTAATTTACTTAACAGAACTTTATTTAATGGGATGCTCTATAACACATTTTTCAAATCAGGTTCAAAAGCCATACATTCCTTTGTTGTTATGGGTAATATAATATATATAAAATTATTATACATATATTGTATTTGCAGTTATAAATTAAATAACATAAATGATAAATTATGAAGTTACACATATACATTTTTTAAAAATTAATTCAGCAATATATGTCTTTTAGCTGTGAAATGTTGAAATTAACAGACTATAAAATTATGTCTAGACTAAATTTATGTATATATTTTTATATAGCTATTCTATTTCTATATATTATATTATTAGCTATATTTCTATTGCTAATTGTGTGTTCAACAAAATATTTATTATGTTTAGAGATGGAGTTATGGAAGTGTGTTTTTGTGTGCTAATTATATCTTTAAACAAATGTCACAACCACAGTGGGATTATGATAAGGTACTTTGTATGTATTATTTGTGTGTAAGCTAATTAGATCAATATAGATATTTGAAGATATCTGTAACCTTTTAGTACATAGAACTTCGAATATTACTAATTAAAACGCTTTTCTGTACGGCTTTTAGAGAACAAATAATAACCAAAACCTAGATATAGATCACAAAAACGCAATAAAATCCTAACGGTATGTAATTCGAGCCTTCCGCGCATGTAAGCATATGGCTATATCATTTGCACTCACATCGGACACATTCTACTTTTGCCTTTATATTATCGACATACTTATACCCCTTCGTACGACCTTGTGTTTGATATATAAGACGAACGAACTCACTTCACACGTAATAAATCAGATTAAGTTTTCGGTGAAATTTTGTATGATCATATTTTGTTCTCGAGAATTTTATACTTCATTTAAGATTTTTTTACTTATGTAGCTTACCTTTTTTAGCGAGCCACTATTCATGTCACTGCATCCAAAGCATGCCATATTTTAAAACGCATAAAACCACACACGATGTCATTTTCGTCAAATTGCACAAATAAAAAAAACCAACGTGACGAAAGGAAGCGCATCGTTCAAGCTTCAAATATATACTGACAGCCATGCTGCTGATGAGTCCGACTTTATTGTGCACTTGAGCGCTGATTGGCGCAGAATCGGTACTAGAAAAAATTTAATTGAACGTGTGCGCCAATGAGAGGAATCTCTGAAATATTTTGGTAAAGTGCCAAAATCGGATAATCTCGGTAGGAATCCAAATACCTGTCATCTTAATGTCAACCGACAATAATTGGTTTTATTTAAATAATTTATGTACCATTGTACGTTTCTTGAAATAGTCGATGTTTTTTATAATATTTTTTTTACATCTATTAATAGCAGCCAGTACTAAACTTTTCTAACTGTAGCTCGAGATCCTTAAGCTCATTTAAAGCAAAAAAAAAACAAATTAGTAGAAGTCAAAATATAGACAATCATGAAAAATATATCCCGATTTTACGATAAACATATGTATACTAGGGATGTGTAGAAATATATATCAGCTTTTTTTATAATATTTAATGGCCTGGTAACAAGACCTTTAAGCCAAATATATATCAGCACTCAACTGACATAATTAAAACTGTCAAACGTCAAAATCTTTATATTATAGGTTAGGAGTTAGACTGTATTGACAATAACCTACGATTATTTTTTAAATTAATGCAGGTAGCTGCAAATGTGTGTGTTTATATTAAAAAAATAGTTTTATTAGATATATACAAAAAATTAATGGCGAAAAAACGAAGTAAGGCTACGGATAAAAAGAAAATATCTTTAGTGTTTGACGAAGCCAAAAGAAAGTAAGTTTAAACTTTAAATAAATATGTTCTTGTAGATCACTATTTGGTCAAATGTATTAACTAGACACCTTGTTATAGGGACTTCTTATGTGGCTTCCGTAAAAGGAAATTAGAGAGGAAAAAGAAGGCTCAGGAAGAGTTACAGCGACTTTTGAAAGAAGAGAAAAAGAGAATTAAACAAGAGGTAATCAATACTTTTCATTTTTATCACTTTAAATTCAATATAACAAGCAATATTTATTAAGTAAATTTAACTTTAAAATTTCAGAATAAGGAATCATATAAAAAGCTAGTAGTGTCATCCAGGCCTATCCCTGATCTTGAACAAATACTTCAAGAGGAATATGAAGATGATGATGTCAACGTTAAAATTGTTGAACTTTCCTCTGATACTTTACAAAAAAAAGATATTGTTATAGGTGAAAATAAACCTAAGTTAACCCAAGAAAAAGGAGTGAAAGATAAAAAAGAAAAAGTTAATCATCATGGAGTACCTGGAATGGAATCTGAAGTTGAAGATGAAAAAGAAGACTCAGATTCAGAAGAAAATAAGGAGTTAAAAACAAAAAAAGAAGTAAAAAAGATACTAAAAATACAGGCAACTAAAAAATTGCAAAAAAGCAAGATATTTCAAATGAAAAATAAATTAGATAGAATACAAAACAAAAAAACACAGAAAAAGAAAGTGAAAAATGAACAGAAGAAAGACAAATCAAAAAAGAAAAATCATAGAAAAAAATAATCATTTGTTAAGATCTATTAACACTTCTTATTAATAATTAATACAATAGTAAAAATAACATGCATCTTGATTTTTTTTGCATCTTAATCCTTTTAATACTTAGTATGTTTATTTGCTCTTTAGATTTCTAGGCTTACTTTGATTTTGTGGTGATTTTCTAGTCTTTATATCTTTGACAGGTTCATTAGTGGGCTGTTCAGAAACTGTGTTTTCTATATTTTTAAGCTTTCGCTCTTTAATTTTTTCTCCTTTGCAACTCTCCAAATCTTTATTTAAATTTTTGACAAATTTTCGTTTAGTCGGTGATTTTTGTTCCAAAGATGAATCTACAGTAGATGATACTGGCAGCGATCTATCATTTTTATCAAAAGTATTCAATGTTGGCGACTTCTTCAAAGGTTTTATAATTTTGGGGCTTGGTGATGTTTTTACGTTTGAAGCTGGTTCTGATTTAGATGGAGATTTCTTGGGGGTTTTCCTTGTACTTTTTGAGGGACATATATCACTATTTAAACATTCTTCACAATTAGGTCCGACAGGTAGGCATATAGTCTGACCAAAGCCTACCATTAAATGGTTTACTTCACTCCATAAGTCAAAGGGTAACCATGATTGTAATGCTTTTCTTGTGTCTTCTGGTGTAGTTGTAGGTTTCTTCACCCAACCAATCCTGTTGCTAATTCTGTGAACATGAGTGTCAACTCCTAAAAATAAATTAATGATTAAATTCAATATACTAAAAGTAGAATTTCCTAATAATACAAAACTGACCAATTCCAGTAATTTTGTTCCATGCAACTTTCATACAAATATGAGCCATTTTAGGGCCAACTCCAGTCAACTTGCACAGCTTTTCAACTGAATCTGGTATATCAGAATCATATTGTTCCTTGAGTGTTTGCGTAGTTTTTTTAATATATTTTACTTTTGTCTGAAAAAAATATGAACAGAACTATGTAATAATGCAATTTCTATTCATGTATAGCAATACTTCTTCATTAATGATTAAACTTACTTTCCAAAAACCAACAGGATAAATAAGATTACCTAACTCCTCATCACTCATGGATAGTACATTATCTACTGTGAGACCTCTTTGTTTAAGACGCTGCATTGCTGCAAATGTTACCTGGTCCTTTGTTTGACTTGACAACATCAAGGATATCAGAGATTGGTATCTTATTACCTAAAACATACAATTGAGTATAAACAATATACCTATAATATTATATATTGCAGAAAAACACCTGCTTGGAATTTCAAAAATCATTGGATAAATTATAATTAAGATAAACCTTAGGCGAAGCGTTTTCATCCATACACATATGGCAACCCATAGAATCTACTGGAGCATCATTATTGGCCCTCATATTTTGTAAATTCAACAAGAATTCTCTCCAGTGCAGCGGTTCCCACAACCCTTTACCTTCCTGAAACATTGAATAGGTGTTAAAACTAATATAATATCTCCATAAGTAGGATCATAAAAAGGGAAGATCAGTAGTTTCTGGTAAGTATTCACAGAAAAATTCTGCCAGCATAAACATTGTGTTAACTTTAGTAGACTGATATTTTCAATGCATACCTGCTTTTTGGGTGAATCGTTCTCAAACTCAATTTTTATATGAGGCTTCTTTTCAAATTTAAACTGGTTCAATTTGGTATCTAGTTTACTTTCTGGGAGTTCTTTTCTATCCAATTCATCTCTTGTAGTGTTCTCAGAATTAGGATTTTTTGTGAGAGTTTGAGCTAATTTTTTGCGCGGCATCTTTCTCAAGAGAAATTTAAAAATATCGTTTTTTAGTATTATTACTGCGCCTTTAAAATAAATTGTATCTTACTGTTTACTTTAATTACCTTTAATTAAGTTAAACTGTTTGTGAGAAGGCAATAAGTATTTGAAATAGGGGCAACTTTGCATGCTGTTTAAATCAAAGCCTAAATTCAAATTTCTGGCTCATATCACCGTATTTAGACTACATACTATTTTGTCTGGGTGGACCACAGCAGATCACCTGTGTAGCCTTCATTAATAGGATGCGTACACGACAGTGTGCTCATGCTGACTGACTATTTGACTAATAAACAACATTGAAAATAAATATCCGAAAATATTTAATGAAATAAAATCCATTATTTGATTGTATTATTTTATCATGTAGTTTCAATTTTAACTGTTGCTCGTAAAATTTTTATAAATTAGAAAATGCTTCAAGTTCTAAAAGTGAAAAATAAAATATGAAAAAATAATGAGATAAAAATACAACAACGAAAAGAAGAATACACTAAACAGTGAAGAAAAGCAAATTTAAATAAGAAACACTTATAAATCTTCCTTTCTTCTTTATGTTATAAGCTTATATTATTATCTATGTAAAATACATCTATAATACCCTGCTATTTGTTATTTTAGATAGCTCGTATCGTATCGTATATGATTATCTGTGGTTGTAATTTTCTGAATTATAATATTTTCCAAAATTAAAAATCTACCGAAACCAAAAAAAAGTACATTGTATCTGTATTATTATAAGACCTCATTAGTTAATAATTTAGTATCATACGAGTGATATTATGGCAGAACTCTTACTGGATCCTAAAATAAGATTATGGGTGTTTTTACCCATTGTTGTTATAACATTTTTAGTCGGAATTGTAAGGCATTATGTATCAATAATACTATCATCACAGAAGAAAATAGAATTACTACAAGTACAGGATAGGTAAGAAATAATTTTAAATGATTATGTTTGTCACTCTGGGTTTATAACCTATTTATGTGTTCTAGCCAAGTTATGATACGTGCCCGTCTATTACGTGAAAATGGCAAATATCTACCTCGACAATCATTTGCTATGCGTCGACATTGGTTTAATAACGAAGATACTGGTTATTTCAAAGTGCAGAAACGTACATCAAATGCTCAGGTACAAAAAATATAATTTGAATTATCATATACAGTTTTTGAAGCTAGAAAGTGAATTTTAATTTTGTATTCCAGAATCCAATGACAGATCCTGGTATGATGACAGACATGCTAAAAGGCAATGTTACTAATGTATTGCCCATGATTGTAATAGGGGGTTGGATAAATTGGATGTTTAGTGGTTTCCTGACGAGTTAGTACTGTTATTTTACTAAATGTTGTTATTCTTTGTGTCTATAAAGCGTTATGTTTACTCTATGTGTTGTACATAAATTTTTTTTTCCACACAGCTAAAGTACCATTTCCTTTGACTCTGAGATTTAAGCCAATGTTGCAACGTGGTGTGGAATTGGCATACTTAGATGCTTCCTGGGTTTCATCAGCATCCTGGTACTTCCTTAATGTTTTTGGACTTCGGACCATCTATGCTCTAGTACTTGGAGAAAATAATGGTAGGATTTAAGTTAAATACTGTCTATAGTTTACGCGAGTAGTACACATTTAAATAAAACACATTAACGGTTTAAAACGCGATATATTTGTTAAACTTATTTGAAAATGATTTTTAATTTCGGCCCAACGTTTCGGATGCTTTGCAGCAGCCGTGGTCACGGGGAGTCTTCCTGTGACCACGGCTGCTGCCTGCTGCGTTTTAAACCGTTAAAGTGTTTTATTTAAAGGATTTAAGTTCTCAATTCATTAAGCATATAATATACTTGATTTTACCAATTGACAGTGATAAAAATGAGTTAGTACTGTAATAATTATGTTTAATATTTATATGATAAGTTGATTTGTAATTATAGAATTTATGCCCTTGCAGCTGCTGACCAGTCGAAAATGATGCAAGAACAGATGTCTGGAGCAGCTATGGCCATGCCTCCTGACCCAAAAGCAGCGTTTAAAGCACAATGGGAAGCTTTAGAAATCACTGAACACCGTTGGGCTCTAGCTAATGTTGAGAATGACTTATTAATAAAAAATGATTGAGAATTATATAATGAGATAAGTAATATATCTGTAAACATTTAAAATTTGCAGAATTACTTGTCTACTAAATATTTAATGAGGTGAAATGTTTTTCACTTATAAAATAGAAAATGTAGTGCATATTGTGTTATAATGTATAAGCAGAACATGTTCATAAAATTTATGATTTTAAGTATTTAGTATGTGGGTGTGGGTGATGTTAATAGGGTGGTGAAGAAATATGTATGTATGACTATAATTTTATGAAATGCTATTTTAGGCTAGGCATATACATTTTCTAAAAACCTTTATGATAAATTTTAAAACAGCGATCAACTCATTCACTATCCCAAGAAAAAAAAATCTGAATAATAAAACAATTATGCTGACCGTTTCTGCCAAGTTATGAACTGCTGCTTTGTTTTAGGATCATGAACTCATTAATGATTGGTTAGCCAAGTGTTGGTTGTCATTGACAAAATTTTCTTTGCTTAAACTTAGAACACCAAAACAACAGAGTAAAGTAGAGATATTGTGCAAGTTTTTCCAAAAATTTAAATAAAGCAAAATTATTTCTATTAGCTTTACTTTTACCAAAGTGAGTGTATTTATATTGTATTTTGACATTATTCTGGGCTCTGATATACTTTTTTTTTTATAAATTATGATTTAGTATATTTAACTTTATCACACCTTAATTTCTTATTTTCACAGTAACCTATATGCTATATTTAATTAAAAAGTTGTCTGTTGATGATAGTTGTTGGTTTTAACTATTCACATAGGCTTATTTAATACACCAACCATAAATTTAACAAATGTTTATTATCTTACTATCAACATTACATTAACAATTTTGATTTTGTCATCTCCAGTTGCAATCAAAAACCATAATTATTTTTCGAGAGGATAGAATTCAAATATTGTTAAATTTTAGTTTTTTGTAAAATATAACACTGGTGAAAAAATGAGCACGTACAGGTTTGTTTTAATAGTATTTAAATACATATATATCCACTTGTTCTTTATTCGAAAAGTGTATTATTTTTTGATAAGTTGAACTACATCTTCATCCTGAACAGTGTGGTGTATGCCGACGCGTTGGGGGGAATACTTGGTGCTGGTCCCCCACACCAAAGCATACTTTAATTGCGCCGCTAATGTACGATGAATAGAGTGGCAGACATGTTCTATTGTTACTCCCTGTATAACAACATTAATTGTTAATAAAAATAATGATTTTCATGACTGCAAAAGCGCAAGAAGTATATATACCTTTCTTAAAATAAGACCATCATCAAAATCTGGGGGCTGTCCTGGCTTCTTGGTATAGACTCTGATAAGTGACAAGTACTCCCAAAGTGTCTCCAAAAGGTAATCCAAATTGAGTTTCATATTACAACTGGAATTAGATTTTGTTTTTAACAAGTGTTGTAATTATATTCAAATATAATGCATTATACAATTAAATGTCAAGTTTAAGATTATATGGTAATACAATAAAGTAAAAATTATGAATGAAAAAGAAAATCAAAGGAAATAAAATATTTGCTAACCTGACTACTATGGAGTGAGGCTGTCGGGCTATCCTGTCAACCTCTTGAATTGAAATCTGATCTATCTTATTGTATACATACAGACAAGGTAGGTACACCCTGTTAGCTAAGATAACATCAATTAATTCATCTGCAGTGCAGTCTTCACGGAATAATACCTGAAATATGGAAATAGATGTTGCTTGGTTTCAAGATAGAACTATGTTGTGAATGTATATTAACATTACCTCAGCGTTGAATATTTTATATTCATGAAGGATCATTTGCACCATTTTTTCATCCACTTTTGTGAGTTGACATGTTGAATTGAAGGACAGCCCACCACCCTTTTTCACCTAAGAAATCAATTCATAAATTATACCATTTTGACTTTAAAAACAATAATGTCTATACAAACTACAATCATACTTTAAAATAAATATTAGGTTTATTCTTATTCAGCCTAATTCCAACACTCTCCAGTTCCTTTTCAAGCAGCTGACGGTGAACATAGGGCTTGGTAGCATCTAACATCATTAACACCAAGTCTGCTGTTCGGGCAACTGCTATTACCTGTAGATAAAGATTCATCATTTTGAATAAGAGTATTAATTAAATATAGAAACCAAATAACTTACAGGAAAATGTACATACCTGCCTACCTCTACCTTTTCCCTGCGCAGCACCTTCAATAATACCCGGTAAATCAAGTAGTTGTATATTAGCTCCTCTGTATTCAATTACTCCTGGTATACATGTGAGAGTTGTGAACTCATAACTAGCAGCTTCCGAATGTGTATGAGTTAGTGTGGACAACAGAGTTGACTAAAAAATAATTATTTTATAGATTATAGCAAAAAAAGGGATTAAAATCAAGTAGTACGAAAACAATTAGTAGTTCAAGCTGGAGAGAGGGATAGAACCTTACCTTACCGACTGATGGGAAGCCAATTAGGGCAACTCTAGCATCGCCTGATTTGAGAACATCAAAGCCTTCTCCTTTGTCGCCACCTTTTTTTGATGGTTCAAGGAGTTGTGATCTATATTTTGCTAGTTTGGCTTTTAGCAGACCCAAATGATATTCAGTAGCTGAAATTGGTTAAGACTTGTAGAACATTATATTACTACGGTATTTTCTGGTATAGCGGCACCAAGTTCATATTACCTCAGAGCGAAAAAGATAATAATCATTGTCTTGCAATATAAAACGTTACTTGGAACATCCTATTTCAAACGTGTAATGAGAATAAAAAAATATTTACCTTTATTCTTTTGGGTTCTAGCAATTTCTTTTTCAATTTCTGATATCTTTTCTAAGATACCCATTTCGTATTTAAATTTTTTTTCTGAATTTACTTTTGCAAGATCAATTAAATATTAGCAAGTTTTTTCATTACCATATTATCTACAGGTGTACTTGACACTTGTACACTAGTGTTGGACTAGTGGAATATGGATAGTGTTGCTCCAGTATAGTCTGTAGTGGAACGTAATTTCGAGTAAGATTTTATTGTGATCCAGTGATGCAATTGCTTAAAATATAATAATAAGCTTGTATTACAAGATATAAAAACCAATCTAAAGATTCCTTAAAATAACCAAAATGGCCAAAATTGAATTTTTTTTTATGATTGAGAGGCGTGTGAAATATGCTGTAGCATGTATTAACACATATGGTTATATTTCATGCGGTTTTACACAATTCACAATAAAGAAATTTTAGCTGCGTCAAAACAAATCTAACCACTTGAAGAAGTTTTTTTATCGTTTAGGACTCTTATGATATGTTCTAAACCTTTTAATCGTTTTTAGTCTAAAATTAATCATTAAATATTCAATCACTAAAAAATAATATATTACGTACATCAGAAGATAAAACAGACCCCTTTTTATTACACTTATATTATGTACACCATATCTGTATTCTAATCATAAACTTATTATTAGACGGTATTATATACAATTATTACCTAATAACAATCCTTTTCTCTTGCATAGGTATGCAAGAGAAAAGGGTGACAATAAATTAGTGACTACTGATTAAAATTTATTGGTGGAAATATTTAATGACTGTTTATAAATCGCGGCCAATTAGATTATTTTAGATAGGTCGCTAAAATAATATGTAAAATATTTATTATAATATTTTTCCGACATGATTCTCTTTCAAATGCTTAAACCAATGATAATATTAAAGTTTTATTTAATTTCACATTCGGTATGTCTAGATCAACATACAAAAGCCATAGAAGAATTAGAGCTTGAATATGAAGATGAAAAAAACTCCATGATAGCAATCACAGAATCAGGTTATTTTTTCAACCGTCCTAACTATTAACACTTTACTTATATAAGACAATAATAATCAATACAAACTTGGATACTTTAAGATGAATACATTAACGAAGATTTTTACGACGAGGTAGATAATAGGAAAATAAACGAAAATTCAATGGATATGATATTTTTTGGACCTCCGAGTTCATTCTTACGATTAGACGCAGAAACAGTGTTGCATATTCTGTCTCATACAAAAAGGCATTTAATACCAATATCGAGAGCTTTATTAGCTTGGGATATTGTAACGGGTACATAATTTTCTTATGCACATATAACTTATTATGCATGTACTTATAGCAACAAGTATTATGAAGGATTTAGGTATAACCAAAGATCAATAAAAGGACAGTTATACTTTTTTGTGTAGATGGTAAAACTGCAGGCTTTCTACAAGGTCGTGAATTCTTAGCATTTGGAAGTTTGTTAAATGCTGTACCAGAGGAAGATCTATATTATGCTAATTTTGGGGACCCTTCGGTCTTTAAGTACTTTTCCAAAAATAACGTAGCAATAACAAATCGTAAGGTATTTTTATCCTCTCATTACTTTATAAATAGTACTATGGATCTTGCTACCTAGAATATCTACTAGGTATGTAGGTTCCCACATTCAAGTTCTGAGACGAAAAAAGTTTGGTTAAATCTGTCTTAAATCTTCTTTAGATTGGTGTGTTGGTAGCAGCTTATCGAAGATATTATGGAAACACGTGGTTCAGGAATGGATCACATATAAATGAATTGGGATATTTGTTGTGTGGATTTCCACACTTTGATTTAGCTAAAATAACGCCCACTGTATTTAAGGAATTAACAGTTGATGTATTGGGCCGACTGCAAAGGTGTAGTGTGGAACAGACAAAGGTTAATTTTATTCGATTTGATCAAAAACTGAAATGTCGTTCGTACGGTTCGCGGGTAAAGGATTGACAAATTTATGTACCTGTGTCACTGATTGATATTTATTTACAAGCAAGTGAAGAACAGCTTTGTTGTTTGCTATGCCTGACTGAAACAATTATGTTTCCCCAGGACCACTCGCGACAACACGTATTGCTAGGCAATTTAAAAATTGAAGATCTGTTGTATTGTTTACCCTAAATGTATTATTTATTTTTAGATTTTGTACAGAATAGCAACTCATCCAGACGCGTACGGTGCTCCTTATAAATGGTCATCACATGAACTCGGTAGACTTAATGCGCTGTTTATATGTATGTATTACATCGTGTTGTAGTGTATGAGGTTGTATATCACATGGAACCGCGTTTAGTAACATAATAAAACATTTTTCTAGGTATACCTAGACAAGAAATTAGTTCTATTCAATTAGAGGCAATAACAGCTATCACACCAGCCGTAATCAAATTGATGGATCAGAAGAAATTGGAATATTTTACAAAACAACAAATATTAAGGATGAATCCTAAAACTCGTCGAATTTACATTCTACGCATGCAACTCCGCAATAGTTTAGATACAAGTAAAATTACAAAAAAGAATTGTACCCGCCTAAAATTTTCCATTATCTATTTTATATTGAATATCATGGTAATCCTAATTTAGTTGCGTAAAGGTAACATATAAATAAAATGAACAATACTATACCTTATAGACTTTACTTGTATACAGAGTTCCTGTACTTTCTTAAGCAACTAGGCACACTTAAATTTACAATAACGTAAATATTAACCTAGACTATGGAAATAAAAATATAAACAAGTTATAGTTATTAATTACTGATAATATTATTTGAAATTAAATAATAATTTGCGCTTTGTAAAATATCTAGGAAATAAATTATGAACAAAAAGCCAATTAATGGTTTCAACGGGTATGTAATTTGAATAATAATAAATACATAGAATTTGCTTTTAAATTGTTGTCACTTGTATTCCTTTTACAATTTTATTTTATTTCCGTTTTGTGATGTACTTTTATTTTCGCTTTTATAAATACTGTTTTATATAGTACATTTAAAAAAAGGGAAATAATTCTAAATAATTATTATAGACTATTATTAAATAGGGTTCTTTTTATTAGAATTCATAAATGTCAAAAAAAATAAAAAGAATTTTGATTATTTTTAATATGTCAAAGCTTTTCCTCCATTTTGATAAAACATTCCGCCATTTTTTTATTACGTGTTAAGAATTCTAACTACGCATTTTACTTTTAAGCTCAAAGCAGAAGGTTAACGAATAGTGAATTAGCAATTTTAAGCGTAAATTGAATGAAATCTATTTTTTATAATGCCTTCTATCAAACATTACGGGTCGTTTGAAATAAATCAGTATGAATTATCGTCAAAATTATTATCGTTAACTGAAAATACTTCGTATACTTTAACTCAGATTAATGGTCAAAGAGTTTTTAAGAAAGCGCCCCATGCATGGCACGGTCCTGAACCATCTAGAAGTTGTGAGGTAAGAGTTTCTTCTAAATTCTAATAGCATTTATTACTTTGGTGGAGTTTGCAGACGTAACTTGGTTGGCGTCAACGCTTTGGTGAGCGTCTCCTGGGCGTGGCATCTCATTTCAGTAAAGTTTTGGCTATTTCTCACTGTATACGAGAGGAAGATTGTACGCAAGATGAAATAACACCATGTTATTGTATATTATATTTGTTCTTTATATCTGGTTTATTAGAAAATATTGTATAAAATATACTTCTCTTTAGGGCTCAAGTTGGCGGGAAAAATCAAAATGGCGGTAATTGTTCCAAAATTATATTTTTTCGGCTATGTCGTTCATACAATCCGCACAAATGTTTCGTTTCATTATTACTAAATACATAAATATTCTATGTTTGTAATTATTTGTTACTTATATATTTATAATAGTTAAATAATTTTTTGTAATTTAATTCATAATCAAGCATACTCTAATATTGCTTAAAAGACTTATACTATTAGTTAATAACAAAACATTCTTTTATTAGGTTTTTATTGGCCGCATACCACATGACTGTTTTGAAGATACCTTAGTTCCATTATTCCAACAGGCTGGAGAGCTATTTGAATTCCGTCTTATGATAAACTTTTCTGGTTGGAACAGGGGGTAAGGATTTTAAATTGTCTGCTATTTCTATGCAAATAAGTAGAGTTAAGAAAAATAGTTCTGTATTTTAATGGAGAATTATATCAAGTTTTGATTTGATTTATAAGAAACTATTGGGTACATTTTAGAATTTTAGTAGGAATAATATACATCTCTCTTTATGCAGATATGCTTTTGCCATGTATACTACTGAAGCTGAGGCCAACCAGGCTATTTGTATGTTCAACAACTTTATGATTCGTCCATCTTGGCAGCTTGGTAATAAAAGATCATTATACATATTTGGAACTTTAGGCTATTCTTGATTCCTAATTTCCTCAATAATCACACAGGCTGTTTTATCACATAATCCCATAACTGATTTTATTATTACAAGCCAAAAAATACAAAGTATTTTTTTTCCATCTTTATACTTATGCTTAATTATACTAAACCTTAATCATAATTAAACAATTTTAATTGTTTCAATATCTGTGAATAGCTTATCTATTTCCTATTGTAAGATTTTACATACTCCTTAAAACCTTAGTTTTTTAGTAGTTATTTTATGTTGGCAGGGGTATGTCATTCGATCAACAATTGCCGCATTTTCATATCTCGTATACCGACAACTACGTCATCAACTGAGATAGTCAGCTTGCTGTATGCGCTTACGGAGGAAGTGAAGGAAATTCGCATTCGCCGTTCAGGCGGGGGTTGTGCAGCTATAGTTGAATACAAGTCGCACCGAGGGGCCGCTATGGCTCGTAAGGCGCTACTGGCCGCCGCATCTGCTGCATGGGGATCCGGCGCCCGTCCCGCTGTGGATTGGTCATTGCCACAATCGCCGCATCTCCTCCGACAGTATCGTGAGGTTATTATTATTATTTATTACCAGAGAAATAAAAACGTAACGTACTTATTCGCCGCGGTTTTGCGCTTTTAATATGTAATACTCTCTTTAATCGGACTTTCGAGTTTTACACATTATTTATTTTTATTTTTTTTTCTTATTAGGTGGGTCGTTGGACACCAGACCGCGGTGTGGAGATCTTTCGCCTGTCTGAAGAGCCGGCGCCAGTAGCGTCATCGTACAGTTTGGAGCGCTGGTCGCAGGCTCGACGCCTGCGTTTGATACATGAAGCGTATTTCTCATACGCTGCGCCAAACAATGCGCTTGCCGGGGCGGACGAACCGCAGCCTACCACGCCTTTGCAGTCGACATCCACCGAACCGTCTGCCAATAGCTCGCTTCTATCTGAGTGAGTCATTTATATATCTTTCTCATTTATATCAATTTACATATGAAACGAATGAATTGCATTAGATTTAATTTAAATGTTCATTTTTAATTTGCTTCATATACATCTATACTCTACACTGGTATATATAGCTGAAAAGTTTTGTAATTTTTTTGACGCGCTAGTCTCAGAAACTACTGGGTCGAAAGGAAAAATAGTTTTTGTGTTGGTCGGAGAATTTATCCAGGAAGACTGTAAAAAACATCGTGATGCGACTTATAGGAGGAAAAAAAAGCGGAAAATGTAAAAAAAAAGGGGAAAATATTTATCTTGGTAGATTTCCGTTGCATACGCTCCGAAAAATGTTCAAGGTACCCAAAAAATATATGTACAAAATAAAGATTCGTAAGTATTCCCAAAATAACTTTTCTACGTGGATGTCATCGATGATACAACATAATATTAATAGTGTGTAAAACTTAGTATTATGGTACAGGGTATTTATTACAACTCTCATTCACAGTTGGCCACAGGCTGTTGATTTGTTAGCCCGTAACATGTTGACAATGGGGCTTTCGGCTCCGTGGGGAACTTGGGGCCAGGACGATGAGACATCTGACGCTCCGTCGTACAACCCTTGGACTGCGCCCCATCCACTGCACGATATGCGCGAGGGACAAGCCAAACAAAAGCCGCAATAAACTGCACTCACATAGGTAACTGTCTAATAGATTTAAACAGTTGATTATTTCATAATAATAATCTTGAACAACAATATAGGTAAATATTTTTATCTTAATACCAGAAAACTGAAATATTGATGAACATTTTGTGCCAACTTTTTTTAGTCATTCCCCAGCATGCATCTTCTTTGCAGTTCTCATTACACATTTAAATACCTATATTTTTCCACAAGGTTTAACTCAAATAGTTACTTTAAACAAAGTTATACTGGAAAAGGTTATATTTAGATAATATATTATTGATCAGATAAAATGAAATATGTTTTAAATTGCACTATGCAGTTTGAAGTAAGGCTTTGATCAATTTATGTCCTAAAACTGGTGTGTAGAATGTAAATTTTTAAATTATTTTTTTATCAATTTCTTTATTACTTGTTCATGGCATAGTTGTGAAAGAAAATTGATTAACTTTACAAGTTGTTTATAAAATTTTAGGTTGTTATAAATTGTAAAGATATGTTTTTACTGTATTAGACAGTTACCTCCTTGTATGGTTCTTTTTTATCTCTACCTTAATGCATTTACTTACTTTTTTTTCTAGTTTTAAGCCCATTCCATACACTTTACTTACATTTTGAATGTTGGTAAAACATCTTCATTGTAATTTTTGAAACTAAATTAACTGTTAGAGAGTTGATTCTCGAATGTAAAATGTTTTTTATATTGTTCATGTCAGTAATGGTATTTTTGTTTGGCATGATATTGGTGTAATAAATAATATTGGCATGGTATAGGTATTTTTGACCTTCCTTGAATGAAATAGTCAATTAAACATCTTTTTTTGAAGTGTATGGATTGGATTAGGTAAGGGTTTGGTGGTGTGAGAGCTGCTTACTAACAAAATGCGAAGTCCTAGTATTGCCTATCCATTTGTCTTAGCAAGAAATACTCATTACTTCATTACTCATTACTCATACAAACATAAGTCCCTTACAATCTTAAAAATAGTTTGTTAAAATACTAATACATATAATGAATAAATTGTACTTTATGTAGATTCCATATTTTGTAATTTAGTGTTGCTCTTACATCTCCAAATTTTAGGATATTTATGGGGTATAGATTGGCAAAATTAAAAAAATTAATATTTCTTAGGGATTTCCTTAATTTTATTTAAAGATAGAAATAAAATTGCAAGCTTTTATATAACATCAGTATATTATTTTAAGACATGTTTTAGATTTGAATTAAGAACACCAGACAATAAATATGTCTATAATATTTGCAACAATCTGCACATTTTTTGATGTTTTTTTCAAAGATATAATTCATTCTATATTATATTCTTTTAAAATCAGGACTGATTTTAATCAATTTTGAAAGTCTTCTCAGTAACTCAACACAATGAACTTGATTGTAATGTACTTTTTTATGAATGAAGTTTGTTTTGCTATCCAATTGATGTCGATTGCACGTCACTATCTAATAATTGATTATTATTGATGAATAAATTTAAGTATAATGATTTGACTTTGGTGTTTTATTTCGTTTAATTTGTTTCCTATCTACTTGCCATCAGGTAGCACCAATCACGACGAAAACATCTAATTTTAAGCGTACTAAACATGCGTGTGAAAATTTTAATTTATTAATCGCTGATAAACATTTCTCTGACTAACATCGTGTTAATATCACATTTACGGGCTTTTTTTAAATGCTGCTTGTTATTAATACCTTACAATATTTCTTAAGATAAATATGCTTTCATTGCAACATTCTTTAACCAAGTCTTCAATAATTGTAGATATGTTTATAGGGCCATAAATGACACAAGTACGAGATGAGCCTTGATTACGTAGGGCTTTTTGTCATCGTATTTGCGATTTGAAGACTTGGTATATAAATTATGTATTAGCCATTTGCTATAATGTAATTAAACAATCCGGTCTACAATTTTAAACCAATTAGTTAAGTACAATTTAATGAGTCCCATTAGGTCAGTATTGTCTGTAGCGTTAACTCTTATCAAAATTATCTTGAAATATTCAGGTGAAAAATAAAAGATCTGCCCTTGGAAAAGAGGATGTAAGCTTGTAGTATAGTGCGTGATTTATTGATGAAAACATGGTATTGACGATTGGTTCTACCTCCGCGGAGGAGGTTTCAATGCCAGTTGCCGATATGCGCTGTGTTGCGCGCGCGCTTGTATGGTGCAGCCGTTTAGTAAGTGACTAATGTGGTAGCGAGGAGCTATGGCAGTTTTTAACAAGTGGGTCGCGCTCAAGATTATCGAGTTTGTAAGTAGATTCCGATAGCAATCTTGCGTAATATGTTAAATAATGTAAAGTTTGCTGTGGTATGTAAACATGTTTTCCTGTTTGTTTTGCTACTTGTTACTTTTTTATTACCTATGAAGGGGGTTTTATGTCACGAAGTTTTTTTAACGTACGTCGTCGTGTGATGATAAATGTTTTAATTTGTTGCAAGACTTTACATTCAACTATACATGGTACATGGTACATATTATGGTAAAACATAATCACAAAACAATGTATCTATTCCGAAGGTAATATTTTAGATTATATAGTAGATTAAATTAAAAAAGAATGCCTTTGTCGTCAAAAATTAAGAAGCTCCCTAAATCAATCGATCACGAAAAGCTTCAATTCGCTCATCACAGTATTTTTCGTAAATTTTATATACTATCATATGTTTGTTTTATTGGTATCGAATGCGCCTCGTAGGTGCTTCCCCTATCCCCTAACACCTTAAATTGGTACTCAAAAAGCATGTTAAGAGTAGCGCATCGGATAAAGTATAAGGATTTAGAAGTTAAGACTTACTAATTAAAACATTTACGTTATGCTGAAGCTGAAGAACGAAACGCTGTAGGTGCCGGTACAAGTCCTCTTTTTCAATCAACATAGTTTATGCTAAAAGGCAAGATGTTTATTTACCAACGTAATCGATAACCACAGTTAACCGGGGATATTAGTTGATAATGCATGACAAACTGGAGATCGTTTTACCGTATCTAAAGGTGTACTTAGTTGAACAAATTAACTTTGAACTGTGACACGAACTCAACAACTATTAATTAACACCGACACCTTCCTAAATGATTCAATTATTGTGAACTAGAATTTGAGATAAGTAATTTAAAATCAACACGTGATTTATGGCTCTATGTTGTTATTCTTTAAATCCCTTTTTTCTATGTTGCGGTTACGTCATAATAATTGATCAGATTTATTTTAGTTTGGCCGATAATTTTTTTTATGTATTCCGGAGATTTGAACTCAAATTCTCTGGCTGAGTGGCTCAATTTTACCGGTTTTTACTTAAAATTAAATTATACGAGTATTTAGTATCCGCCTATATTTGTAAGTCGTTCGAATGAAAATGCTACCGATATATTGGGCGTTAAGATTGGTTTATACCTATAACCTATAGAAGTAAAGAAACAAACACACTCAAATTTAATATATTGGCTGAAATCAATAGGTATTAAAAAAAAGGTAGAGATGTCTAAGTATATAAAATGATGCCATGTGTGACAACTGCTTCGCCTAAGAGCAAGTATATTGGGTAAAATGTTAGATTATGTAACGAGTCGGACGCTACGTGTTTGTTCAATGTCACTCTCACTGGCCCTTTCGCAATACATATGCGCTTGCGATGGAGAATTAAGGTTCTCGGTTATACCACTTTGTGGCTTCCCAACTCTCAAACGTCTTACATAGGCGTATTCTATCTTGCAGAAGAATTGTATCGATCGCTTAGTAACAAAAAAAATGTTTATCGGACTTGTAGTACAAAATCATAGACGTTTTTGACACTTGTGAAGGTTTATATTAGAAAATTGGAGAAACGATTACACTACAAGAGGTACTTCATAAAAGCCATGGTGCGGTATATACCATGTACCTACCTACTGCATAGTATTAAAGCTAGAACGTCTCATAGTTGGGACTTAGAATTTCGGAAAAGGCAAAGAAGTCTGTTTACATATGCCTTTAATCAAAATCGATCTGTGAACCGGATACAGGAATCTGTTTAGAGGTAGTGGCTTAGATCGTGTAGGGAAAGCGGGTCTCTCTGTTTAATAAGCAGCAACTGGAGTTATTTTGATAACACTAAGTCAAACAGTCTCTAGTAAGTTGCCTAAAGTCATGGAATATAATATAATGTCATGTTTCAAATAACGATGCATCCAGCCATTGTATGCAAGCCCATTGTCTTCAACAAAATATAGTGACAATTCTTACGCGATTAACTTAAGGGCATCGTATTATATCTGTGTTTGACATACATAGCTTCGTTTGGTGTTTACACCTCTATGCCTACGGTATGTATGCAGTATATACTTTTAGTAAAAATTACCGCCTACGTTCCCTAGGTGAATGCATTTCCCAGCCTTGGTTGATCTCAGGGAAACATAAAAGTTTAGGCTGAGCTTAGAAAAGACATTGCCTTACTAACATAAGGAATACGGGATTTTATCTTTGATTATTATTTTATCTATGATTATTGTGTACCCATAGTTATTCTTAATCTTTAATACCACATAGTTATTCTGCGTGGCATGCTTGGTCGCGAAACGAGTATCCACCGACGATGAAGCCAGACTGGCCCTCCTACTGCAAAAGCTGTCTCGTGAGTGGTCGTTGCTAAATTCCATTACTTGGGATGGCTCAGGAAGTGCCTTTGCTGATGCTACTTATGGTGGTAAGTTAGAACAGCAAACCTCCTCAATGACCGATTGACTGTCATCCGATTACTAACTAGTTTCTTTACGTTGTATTATCTCTTATATCCTTATTCATCAATAGCATTATCTTGTTCCCTGTATATTTTGGTTTTTGGTATATAAGTTTAAATTATCCATGCTTAGTTTCGTCTAGTGTTAAAATCTAAATTGCTGGTAGTGATTGGTAGTCCGTAAAATTTCACTTTGGAATGGTGACGCCAAAATGCCATTTTTATTTTTTAAACCTAATAAACAAACAATGTTTTATTGACACTATAGAATTTTACCAGGTTATGTGATCATCACGTTCGGCCTTATATTTGGGAGAGTTTTCCAAGAAATACCGAGAGGACGCCGTATTTTAGAAGGAATCTTACTCGGTTTTGGACTTCTGTTCTTTTTAGTTTTGGGTAAGCATATACAACTAAACATCACAAAAATAAGACTACTATTGGTACCGACTCTTGTCTAGTATTTCTAATTTTATATATATGCGTTAATTATAATTTTACGATTTTATTGCGTAGTTTATTTTGTGTATATTCTGACTTTCAAGAAACAAAACACTATAAATTTTTACTTTTTATTCTCCTAGGTGGTCTAGAGTTAGCATCTCTAGACGCAATCCCAGATACTTTAACAGTGAACGCAGCTGTCCTCGGAGCCTTATCTCTGGCAGTCGCCGCCCTCTTTCTCTTAGATCTTATGGGCCCCAGGGTCTATACAGCAACAAGACCCTCACAAACAGACAAGGTAGAACTAAAATCTCCTAAAAGTGAGAAAAAAGTATCTATTATCACACAACCCTCTTCTAACGGTCACTTACTAAACGATAAACAAAACGGGAAAGTCCCAGAAAGACCTAAAGATCTAGATTTGAGTAAAGATGTTAAAAGAACAGAGACGCCAGCCTTTGAATCGCCCAAAACGCCGATAAGCCAACTGGAGGAGCTACAAATCGATAGTTTGGAGAAATCCAAATTTGGGTCATTGAGGAACATAGAAGGAGGGAATTATGTTCGACTTTCTGATCCTTTAGTGATCCCGGATAGGTTACATTACGAGCAAGAGTTGGCTAAGTTTAACGAAAAATACTTCAGAGATTATTTGGAATATGCTGATAGCTTAGATGGAAAGGGACAAGTCGTAAAAGAACAATACTTGCCAGAGCTCCAGACTCCAGTTTTTAAGAAGGTAAAGAGTACGTCTGGGCGACTAAAAGATTTGTACGATGAGATGTCGCCGGTGTATGAGAAGAAACGTCAATCTAAGTCGCCGACTAGAGCAAAAACAGTAGCGACGCCCACATTGCAGCAGCTCGAAGATTATTTAAAAGGATCTGGAAGGTACATATTATCTTTTCTTTTTCTGAAGACTATCTTATCTTTTCTCATTAGGTAAAGAGGAAAATTCTTGCATTTGATGTTTCGTTATAATTACTACGATAACAATTACTTAAAGAAGTTTTCTTTTGTATAGATCTAAACGAGGAGACACCCCAGCTATATATCCTCTAGAACGAATAGAGGAAAAGGAAGGAAATGACGGCGAGGGTAGAGCCAGCGGAACACCAACCGATCCAGGTTACGTCCAATACACTGCTAATAGGTGGCCAGAGAAAAGGGAGCTTCGAACACCCAGACATAGTCCCACGTAGTTAGACGGTACAGGTAATAACTCATTTCGCTAATATGAAAAGTTGTCGTCCTTAAATTAAGATTGAGCAAGAAATGCCACTTCCCTTACGACACTTGAAGCGATAAGCTTATCAGGGAAAGTAGACAGACGAAAGACTCGAACCTATGCGACCTGTTTGAACAAACTTAGAAATGAAATGTTTACGCGCTGAACGGTTTAAAATGCGAAATATATTGGAAAACTTATTGTTAAATACGCAATGCTTCAGAATTTCAGTCCCCTCGGTCACCATGACTAGCTATATTTCGCGTTTTAAATAGGTATTTTTTTTTAAGATTTTATGTAACTCGCATAAACTACAGACAAAACTTAGAATTGTTAATATTCTATTTTGGATACCGGAAGGTAAATTTGGCCTTTTTAAACTCATTGCATGACTTTGATAAATTGATTCGGCAAACTAAGCCAAAGATGTATGTGTGCATATTGTTTATTTTAATTTAATTTAAAAATCGAAAATAAATTGAAAAAATTTTTCGACTCGGGCAGGACTTGAACCGGCATCGTCAGCTTTCCGTGCTGTTGCTACCAATTGAGCTACCGAGTCCTACACCTCATCGTCGGAAAGCTGACGATGCCGTTCAAGTCCTGCCCGATCGAAAAATTTTTTCAATTTATTTTCATTTTTAAATTATATAGTGCCTTCATGTGCAATAACATGTGAAAAATATTAATTTTTCAAATATTTTAATTTAGTTTATACAAAGTGACCTTACTTTACCGACATCGCCGTAATGAATATACTATTAGTCATAGACTTGATTAATTCTCTTGTGATAATTATCCGTCCATGTTGGTATTATTCCTTTTTGTATATATATAAACATTTTAGTGATATAAAATTACTTCTAAGTAAGGACATAATTTTATTGTAATATGTTATATTCTTGAATTAGGAGAGAACAAATATAAAGGTACTTGTACGTATTTAATCGCAAGTTAAACCTTTACTTATTTACGGAATTAAATTATTTATATCGTTTCGCAAATAGTTTATATATGTATTTGTAAACTAAAAGATTTTTAACATTATCACAGCTAAGACAAGCCATTAATTGTAGTTGTAATCCTTAATACAGTATTTTAAGTTAATTATCAAAGGTTGCTTTGATTGTTATATCAATGCGCAGTTCACACGGATTTTATTTCTACGTAAATTAAGATAGAATTGAATGTACATTTTTTTGCGTTTGAAAATAAACGAGTTTTTTAATTGACTGCTTTATTTTGTCACTGGGAAATCACAGAGGTTCAATGTTCCGCAGATTAAAGTGTTGGTTTGGAGATAATGCGATAATGACATAACTTGAGGACAGTGGTGGTCATTATATTGAGTCTCTATGGGAGGCTACATGTGAACAGAGGTTAAGTAGCGTGGGAAATAGGCGTAAGGGACAATACTTAAAAATAAGTCTCTAAGATAAGGAGTATCTCGTTGGTTTAGTCTTTATACACTCGACTATATACGCATACACGAGGTCCAGTGTTCATATTTCAGGTCGGACAATTGATAATTAAGTAGTATATGTATATTTTTATTTCAAGAAAATGTTTAGTACAAGCCTGGATTTACCACTTTATCATTGGAGAGGTTTTATTTTGCTTGTAGCTGGTGGACAGTAGGATAATAGCAAAATGTAAGTAGTCTTTCAAATTGCTCCGGGTTTTGTAAACATACCTGTTTTTTAATCTACGGCTTTGCCTTTGCTTCTAAGTACTTCCTCACTAAATCCGAAAGAACCTTTACACAAGGTTTTCAAGCTAACCAAAAATATACTTTTGAAAACTTTTCTTACATTGCACATGAATGCACTATATAATTTAAAAATCTAAAAAAAAATCGATTCGGGCAGGACTTGAACCGGCATCGTCAGCGTTCCGTTGTTGCTCTAACAATTGAGCTACCGACTCGAGCAAATTATACTTGCTAATTTATTTATTCTCTTTATTGCAAAAATAGTTAAACATATAAGCTATAACGAGTGCAATGCGACGTGTCGTGCATTGCATCAAAACTAGATATTAATAAAAAGTACTTTGAAAATGACAGCTGTAAAAATACTTATCTTTCATCGTGTCTGACCTAAACGAGACTACCAAAGACAAGTAGGTACAACGTCCACGCCCATGTGTCCTTTGAACGTTTTGCAATATTTCAAGTACTTACTAAGCTGTTAACTTGTATTCTTCGTGTGTGTGCTAACAAATTGGTCCGCCAACTTTATCAATGGCTTTACTTGTGATCGCTGTATTAGGTCAAGATCGTAGATATGTGACCTTCATGGTTCAAATGTATAACACTTAGTTAAGTGTAATTTTTAAGAGGTTAGGTTCGATTCTTACTTCTCAATATTGATCAATATCTGCGTGTCTGCCAAAGGAATAGATGTTCAGAATATGTGACTGTGTCTGTTTTAAGACACCACATAAATGTCCGACTATTAAAGCAATTTTTTTTAAGTGACAATTGAAGAAATCAGAAAAAATAAACTTGCATTCCAGCAATCATCAACATAGGCCTTAAAACTGCTTCCACGATTCTTTGTGTTCTAGCTTGATAATTCCAAATTATTTGTTCTCATAGTACCTTCTGTTTCCGATTCCGTGAATCACAGTCATTGCGTATAATAAATGCAAAAATTAAATAATAATGCGAGACATTTGATGTGTGTGACTGTTTCTCACGGTGAGGGACCTTGTTCTGGGACACGTTAGTAATTATCTTATAACACTATTATTAGTTGGTGCTTGGGCGCAGTTTAAAATATGCGGCGTTAGTAAGTGACATAATAAATTATTTTTCTGTATGAATCGGATTAGAACTATAGGAAACAATTTTGCGGAAGGAATGACGTTGTTAGTGTAAATTAGGAATCGTTTTTCTCTCCATCCGTCATCTCCGTAAGATATTCACTTTCTTATTGAGGTTATATTAATACGCTACAGTTGACCAGTTTCATATTTAACAAGTGTTACACTAACATTAGTCACATAAGTTAGAGCACCGGAGAATATGGTTAAGTAATTAGTTAGCAATACCAATCGCATATATTTATTTATTATTATACAAGTTGTGTCAGCGACTTCGTCCGCGTAGAATAGTTATTTTGGGAATCCAAAAATTGTTTTTGAAAACCTTCTCGTCATCTTTATTAATTTAAACTGCTATCTGACATCGATATGGCTCGCGACCTGTCGTTCCTGCAAGTAAATCGTAAAAGATAGAGATATAGCGTCGCGGACTTTTTTTAGATCATCTAAAGAGAAATCATTCTTTCATATATGCTACCGCAGTTCTATTAGTCACAGCGGTATAACCGTCCTCAATAAATTCTCTAACCAACCCAAAAAATATTTATTGATTCGAACCAGTAGTTCCTAAGATTAGCGCGTTCAAACAAACAAACTCTTCAACTTTATATATTAGTATAGATGATTAGTTATCGCACGCCAAAACTAGTGTCAAAACAGATCTGCAGTTATAAAATAATTAAGGATTTAATTCAACCTACGTCGTAAAAAAATCTTTGAAAGATGTAAGAGTATAACTCTGTGGCTTACCAATTAGACCCTTTACGGCCACATATGCATATCATTGGCCTACAAGACAAACATCAGCCTTGCGGAGTAAAACAAAGGACAGTTTTTACCAACTCCGTGGGAACAGCCTTCGCTCATCGGCACCTTCGGACGCTTCCTTTTAGGGTTGACGGAAAATGAGTTTCCACACGACGACCTCATCGTCATTTGTCATTTTTATTAAAATATATTTATTATGGATAAATGTACTTAAACTAATTTGGGACGAACAAATGCTTGTCTATTTGTGAAACACATTATGTTGGTTCTATGTTAGAGAATTAAAACAAAAGAACAAAGAGAACGAGACAGGTAACTAAGTTATTAATTTCCTTAATACTAAGTACTTCTCAATACATATTTATTATTTTTATTATTATTTATTTTTCATTCTATTTATGTTCTTTCGATTTGATTAAACATGAAAAATGTATCTTGAATCTAAACTGTCTTTAAAATTTAGTTGTTGCAGTTTTCCTTTGCCATGAACGCATCATATAATTAAAATCAATGTTATATAACTGAATACCTTTATTGATATCTACAAATTATTTTTAAACATAATAATAATTACATCATAAAAATCGTATATAAAAAATAAACATGACTCCGACCTATTTGGTCTTTGGATAATTTTTATTTGTCCCTAAATTTATAAATATGAATAATCTTGGGCATAACTATTACTATGTAATAACATACAAATATTACTTCGCGTTCGAAATACATTAAATTATCGATTATTAGCACCTTATGAGACGGGAAAGTACGTATGTTTTATACTATGTAAAATATATTTTATTAATGGCAAAAACAATATTATGCGATGATAATATGAATTCCATAAACAAAACTAGTAAAATTATTGTGACAAAGTGTACTTTTATGTTTTTGGCTTTAATCTAATCGGTATATTACAATATTGTATGTAAATATGACTAAAATGAAAATAGAAGTAAACTAATAAAAAAAACTAAAATCCTATTCTCATTTTACTCTTAAAAGTTTAGACATAACGGCATACTGTGATAAATATCACTTACTTTAAAAATAGATTCTAGAAGCTCTTCCGTTAATAAGAAAAAAGAAAATGGCCGACAAGCGTAAAAGAAAGTTATGTAAAAATACAATTCTGTATAAAAATAGACAGATAAAGGACTCATGTGAAGATAATGTTTACTCGAGTTTTTTATATAGTACATTATAAAGATAGAATCACAGCATGTCGTAATGCGTATATTATGGACGGACATGTTTGAGGTAAGTATTAAAACATAGTTAATAATATTCCAGACGTCTTCGCTGCAAACACTTATTTATTACTGGCTGTTTAAATCTGAAAGAGGAAATTATATTCAATATACAACAAAATAAATGTTC